CGGATGGTTCCACGTGCAATCGAGCGTCTAGTTGGGGAAAGCTGGTTTTGATGTGCTGTCATGTCACTGATGTGCGTCTCGAGAGGGCGCTTGGGGAATCGAGCGTCTAGATGGGGAATGGCTGGGTTGGACGTGGTGTGCTGCCACTGACGTTCGTCTCAAGCGGGCACTTGTGGACTCGAGCGTCTGATGGGGAGTGGCTGGTTTTGATGTGGTGTGCTGCCACTGATGCGCGTCTCTCATGTTGTGACGTGATCAAGTACTGCTGGGCTCTGGGTTGGGAACGGGGACCGCTGCTTACGCACTGCTTACGCGAAGCTTACGCGCAGCTTACGCGCATTGCGCCATTAACAACACATTTTCTGGAGCCGCTATAACACTTCATGCGCCAGAGGTTCGTCCGCAAAGCAGACGTTCTCAAGAGCCTCAGGAGCAGGAAGTGAAGGGGAAAGAAGAGGAAACACTTTTGCGTCAGGTTATGTGGGGCAGCGTACCTTAAACTCTCAGCCCTAAGCCTTAAACCCATAAACCTTTTCGTGGTTCGTCTCAGAACAGGAGCCCTAAACCCCAACGCCTCCACCAAACACTCCAACAAATCAGCTAGACGAATCGCGCGGTAGCATGGTGTTTCTTGTTTTTTTTTCGCGCAACGAAGGCCCAAAATTAGCTTCTATACTGCTGCGGTTGCATGGGGATTCATACCTTTGGGACCCTTGTTTTGTGGATCATTCGTGCCGCGCGTATGTGGTTCCTTGTGGGATTTGTCCAAGGCCTGACTTTTGACCTGACTTATCTGACCCGCGGTTACATGGGGGTTAGGCCTTCAATCCAACAGAAGGCCCGACTTTCACTGGAAACTGTATCTGCTACCACTGTACTACTGCTGTCGTGCTGGTTCCAGCACACCGCAAGCGTCACTGTTGTGCTAGCCTTGCGGATGCAGCAAGACCGAACGTGGTGTCCGCGCGACATGTCTTGGCTTGCGAGTCTTCAGGACTTCTCGGAATTCGTTTCCCGCTCGTTGAGCAGATGAGCCACTTGGCAGCTTTGCGGGCAGGGGTAGGGACAAGCGTGAAAGCGCTCTTGACCGCAATGTGGTCACGTCGCAGGAAATAGGCTTGACTCCAAATGAGTTTTTAACAGTTTCACCCACATCGCAGTCTGGGAATACAGTGGGATCAGTGCACGTGAACATTTCGAGTGTCGATGTGCAGCACAACAGGTAATGTTTTGGCGTTTTGTGGGTTGCCCAACGTGGCCCCAGAGGGGCACAGCTCCCCATGGTGGTGCAAAGAAGTTTCAGCTTCAAGAATAGGAGCTGGGTGAGGAGCCGGAAGATATTGGTTATTGGTGCTGTCGGAGTGCATGGTGTCATTCTGCATTTGGATTTACTTCCGTTTTATTCATGTCGGCTGCCGAACCCACGCCCCGGATGCCGGACGGATGCCGAGATTGTGCAAACGGTCGTTTCGCTTGGCTTCAATTGGCCTGTTGAGGCCTTCAACCCTTTCAGTCGATTGCTGCAAGTTGTGTTGAGGTTTCATAAGATGATGATTTGCCAGGAGGGGGGGGGCGGGTCGGGACAGCAATTGCGGAATGTATTGTCCTGGCTGTAGGTCGCCAAGTCGGACCGAGATTTGCCGGCGCATTTTGGATCCGAAGCCGCAAATCTCAAGCCAGCAAAAGCATGCATGATGCTTGGCTACACTGCACCCAAGCTGTGGGAATCCCTCAAATTGGAGCTCAAACCCTGCAGCCCGCCGGGTGTTTCAACTCAGCAGCTTCAAGTCTTACAAGTATGACGCTGTACCCCACACACTTCAGTCGGTTTGCCACTGCGCATTCTTTACGCACCTGGGCCGTGGCTTCGCAGTGTCAATGGCAAGTCGTGCATTGTGCAAGGCCGATTGTGTGAGCATGAGGCTGCGGTGCCCGCATGGCACATGTAGCAATATGTTGATGATGTAGATTAGTGTAAGTGCGATTTGGCCGCAGAAGATTTGGCAAGAGGTGCTATGTCGATGGAGCCAAAGACCTGCTCTCCGGTTTGGGAACCTAGCTACGAGCAATTCGCGGTTGCATTGCAGAATGTGAGAACGTGTTATTGTGTGCAAGGCATATCTGCAGACCCACAGGCTGCTGTCGTGCCGACTGTGTCTGAATTGGGGCTTGTGCGCCAACGAATGATCTATGTTCTTTGCATTGATCTAGGCACTATGGCAGGGCAACAGCCGAGACTGCTTCAGCACATATGTCCGCTGCTTGTATTTGTCGCCTGCAGGCTTAGCACAACCGAGTCGCTGGCGCGACTGGGCATCCGAGGCATGTTGATGTGCCTTCGTACACTCTGAACGATACCAGCATCCCTCATATTCTTCGAGACAGGCTATCAGCTATCATAGCGACATCTCCGTGTTGTGAAAAGAACAGTGGTGGAGGTCGTTGGGATCTCCGAGGACGCAACGATTACTGGCAGAGGCGGGAGCATCCGCGTTTGTCGGTGTGCATGGGTGTCCGAGGTTGCGGAAAACCGTTGCACTTTTTTGGGCAGACTTCTGCCACAAGATGTGCAATGTACGTATATAACTCAACTTTGAACTTCTTGACTCCCAGGCGTAGCCCAACATGCTGTACGCTGCTTCAGTCTCTCCTACCGCCGTGCTTGCAGAAAATTCGTTTCGCCTTTGGAGGCGCTGCTTCCTTTGATGAGCTGGTGGCCTTCTTGAAGGATGGGCAGCTCGTTCTGGATGCTGTCGATTGCCGCCTCATCAAGCAGCGTGTGCGATGGGTGACAGGATCTCCGCCGGCCAATGCAGCCAGCCGACGAGGAACCCATAAACGTCAACGTAATGCAGGAGATCAGGCTGTAATGCAAAATGTTCACATCCTTTTGCCCTTTATTGATAGTTGTGCGACAACTTGGGGCAGCCAGCCGTAAAGTCCAGACCCCGCAGAACAGACAGAGGTTGCAGGAGGGATTTTTTTTTATTGTTGGTTGCTCAGTGGGGTGTCGCACGAGGTGTTACGGCGTGTTTTCCTTTCGGGTATTGTGCCTGAGGGTGACGCCGGCAGGCTCGGAAGCACCCGCGGCAAAGTACAAGTTACTGCTTTGGTTGGGGGCGGCCGTTCCGTCTACAATCCTACTGGACTCAAGCATCCGAAGTTCTGCTGCTAATTTTGAGTACTGCAGATGTTGTAACGCACATCATGCCTCACTCCACTCAGCCAAAGCTCTATAAGACTATAAAAGAGCATATCAGACCTGCCTTGAGTGCGATTGTCAAAGGACGGTGTCAGAAGCCTTACGGAGGCGGCGGTGCAGCAGAAGCAGGCCGAGCTGGAGGAAGTGGCGCCGGCGCTTCAGGCCAGGTTCAGGAGAGCACTTGTGAAGTCGGCCATGGTTCTTAAAGTTGCTGTGGTGAGTGCACCGTGAAGCTCTTAGCAAAACAAGTTCTTGCAGAATGCGTGATGATGCGTGATGTGAGTTGCATGGGGGGATGAGCCGCTCCTCGCTTGCCAGCGCTTCTTGATCGGCGGGGAGATCCGAGACCGGCTCGCGCTGCTTCGAGCCGTTGCCCGAACCCCAGCCGGAACGGGTGCCATCCGGTACCCCGAAGACTGCAACGGACTGCAACAGAACAAAAAGCCAACTCCTGAGAGAATTTGTCAAGTTGTGGCATACGTAGTGACGTGGTTCATATCCGAGTGTAAGGACACCAGGGAAATTTGAGGGCCATCATTGTCTTCTTCATCATGACCAGCACCGCCTGTCAAGTTCGATAATCTCTTGCCTGCGAGTGCCTCGCCCCCTCTCAAGGCAAAAGACATTTGTTGGAATACGGTTGCCCTATATGCGACGAATCTTTAGGCACGGAGGACGGATTCTTTACAATGCTTTGGTTTGTTGTCACTGCAGAGTCTACCCCAAAACCACAAACGTTACGATTCATTGGCGACTTAGGCCCTTATTGTAAACGCTGCGCATCGTTCGCCTCGGCCCGGTCGCAGCTGAATTCAGCGGGCACCAGATGATGAGCGTGGGAAGGGAGTTGGCGGGGGGTCGGTGTCGCGACCGTAGGGTCCGGGGGTCGGGCCGGGGCCTGTTGGGGGGGCGAGTAAGAACGCGAGGCAAACAACTTTTGATCCAACTTTTGTCTCCACTTTGGGCCCGAACAGTCGCTCCATCATCCATGCCGACAGAGAGGCAGACAGAGACATAGACCTATAGGCATTCACAGACATAGAGACACACAGCAACAGACACGCAGACTCAGAGAAAGACAGAACAACACCAACAGACCTCGACAGGCATGTGAGGTAGATGTAGAGAGGTACATGGACCAGGACGCAGGAGCTCGAAGCCTGTTCCGATTCTGTTTGTTTCATGAGGCGGACCTCGGGACGGTGCCCGGCAAGCCGTACTCCTTCGCTCTGTACCTCTTGGTTTTTCTGGAGGCAACCATTCACGGGAAGATTGAGTGCACGTGTGCAGTTCGCGGAGAACAGCAACTAACATCAATCATTGCATGCAGAGTTGGGCTCATGACAGCACCACGTGCCACTGACCGGGACGACCAATCTCCTCCCAAGTGGCTGCTGGAGCACGCATCCGTCAGGAGTACTTGAAGGATATCGAGACGCTCCGTGACGGCGAAACCATCTCGGACCGTGCAGCAGAACTTCGCGAGGACAGGGGGACGTGGGCCGGTTGACTTCCGGAGTTTGGAGTGTGGCTGCTTTCTTTTTTGCTTGCACGTCACAGGTTTTTCTTTGCTTCCACCGTGCTGGGCTGGCTCCAGATCGGCTTCGACTGATTTACAGCCACATTGCGCCTTGGCCGTCGGCATGCTGATAGTGTCAGCAATCACACTCTTCAGAACTTCCCCCAAGTTATCGCAACTCCATCTTGTGTTCTTGAGGCCTTAAACGTTCTTGAAGACCAGCATTGCATGCTCTGCTTGCACGGTGCAGCATTTTATTCGGTTGCATCCCCTTCAAAACTTCCGACAAGCTCAGGAGCAGGACTTCCCCCGCTTTGAGGCTTGCTTTTTCGGGTATTGAACAGTGGCTTCTGGACAGATTTCAGACCAGCACCGAACCCGTGCGATGGCATTGTCGTCCTTGGCGATGATGTCTTGCAGCGCACAGATGTAGAGCAGAGGTAGTCTAATGTACCGAGATCCACAGCGCAATGCTTGAAGCAATTGGCAGAACCGATCAGGCTGCTGGCGCCCTGTTGCCAATGCCGTCTGCCGTCAGCCTTTGCAGCTCGGACGACTGTCTGGGTATCAGACCCTGACTTGAAGCAGCCAATTAGTGTCCTTGACGTGGGGGGGTTGTTCGTGTTTTTTGTGCTAAACATGGCGAACGCGAACTTTGGGCTTCGGATACAGACTGCCTCCAGTCTGTCCCAGCCAACCAAGAAGAGTACCACCCTTAATGGCCATGTTCTTTCCCACATGTGTGCGAAGTCCCGACAGTATCTTCGAAGTAAGTATGACATGCCCATAAATCCACAGGATATCATGCGCTCATGCCGGCAGCCTGCATCGAAGGCCATACGATGCTTGCGACAGGTCTTAGCCAGGCTCTCGGACGTGCTTGTTGGGGTGGCATTTTTGTGGTGTGGGCCTGCTGCTATTGCGCGCTTGGGCAAGTTAGCAGTACTGCAGGCAGCTTCACCGAGCTATCTTCTGCACACCCTAGGCTCTAGTGGCGCTACGACAGTCCTCTTGCGCTCCTCGCTGCGTGAGCCTTTGATCCACGTAGCCGACGACTCGCAGGACACATGGAAGTCATGTTCGTTTAGTTCCTTCGACCTTTGTTTGCGGAGGAGGGTGAGACTTCGGTCAAAGAGTGCGAGAGCAGACACGGCTGTGCCAATTGTGATTTTGCTTTACACCTTCAGGAGCTGCGCATGCTGAAAACCATCGAGATGCTAATTCGACTCGACTTCCTCTACACGCAGGATATCAGCGAGCAGGGCTATAACATTGTAGGTTGTATCAGGAATAACGGATTCCATGGTCCTCCGGTTTTTGTTACAAGCACCGCAGGCAAGTTGCAAAATTTCAGTGCCATAGTCTCCCGTCGCTTTCTCCGACAGTCCAGGAGCGGCTGCCCCCAGAGGTCACCGAGTACCTCTCCGTCGTTCGAAATCTCCGCTACTACGACCGTGAGCTCCGTGTGCATCCCAGGTCACAAAAGGGTTGGGGGAATGCCGCGACGCCGTTCCGGACTGAGGCCGCGATACTCCCCTGTCCTACCAGATGGCGTTCTTCTTGCGGAAGCATCTAGCATACAATTCAGCTGACTGCGCTGAGGGTCGAACAGTCTTTCTAGGCTATAGGGCCCTCGTGAAGCACGGCTTCTGGAAACTCAGGCATGGCTTCCCGGCCAAGCGTAAGATGCTGGGGCCGTATCCTCTGAAGGCGGGATGGGGAACGGAGTCAGCCCTTCCTGCCATGCTCTGGTTCCGTGATGTCTCGTGCAGCGACTTTGCACGATGCTGTTCGGGCATGCAGATGTAAGCATCGTACCATCGCTGGTGACCTCGGTGATGAGAAGGTCTGTGACCCTGAGGAGCGGGTCAACTTCGAGCCTGTGGAGGCCGAGACTGCTGTCAGCTCGACATTTTAAGCGGGGAACGTTGAAGTCTCGTGAGCTCAGCTGCACTGTTTGCAGAAGGAGTTCGCAGCATCGAAGTGAGCCTTCCCAAGCCAACACCCGCTCAACTCTCGCAAAGATATTCACACACACCCACACACCCACACACACACACACACGCACGCACGCACGCACGCGCGCGCGCACGCGCACACACACACACACACTCTCACACACACACACACAGAGACACAGTGACACACACACACACACTCTGTGTGGATGTGTCATCCGACGCTTGAGCATCAAGCACCCAAAGTCATGATTGCCATTGTTAGCACCATTACTATCTGCGACCACTGTTGAAGTGTATTTGCTGCTCTCGCTGTAGCCTCGGTATGACTCTTACCATTCTACTCGCACTTCTACGATATTCTTCTGCCCCTGCAGAGCTCTGCAGAGCTCCGAGCAGGATCGGACCTGGCGCTTTGGGCTCATCGAGACGGCGAGAGCACGGAAGAAGCGCCACCTGGAGGCCGGCGCGGAGCTCCTTCAGTACTACTATAGGAGTCTTGGTAATAATTTTAATATGTGTTCAGGGAGGTAATATCAAGTCAAGTTGTGCCACAGCATGAAAGAGGCACTGCTTGCACACTACAGACCTAGCCATGGCCACAAGAGAGCAGATGTATTCGGGAAATCTTTCTTCAGGCTTATGTGAACCTGAAACTTTCCCCTTCGCTAAACCACTCGTTAGATGAGTAGTTAGACAGTCACGCATGTATTGGTTACTATACGGGAGCCAAAGTTGCGACCACTCGTGTCTTTGGGACCGTGAGAGACCACAAGTGCTCGAGGTCCCAATCGTTTTGGTGGTATAGGGCTCCAAACATTGGGACTCAGTGCAAAGTTTCTCAAGGCGGATTGTCTCCCCCACTAGCTTCCTTCGAACTTGAAGAGCTGAGCGAGAGCGAGTGTGAATGCGGCTGGTAGACGCTTGCTGTAGTGAGGCCTGTAGAACCGAGCTTTTGGCTTCGTTTTGCACCTTGAGTAAATCGGAGCTGCGCAACTGAAGCTGTCGAAATCACTCGATTCTTGTAGCTCCTTCCCTGCCTTGTAGGGGACATGAACTGCTTGCTGTGGCTTGCTATGTGCGAGCCTAAACAACTTTGACAAGCTTCGGACTCGGGAGGCCGTTGGTTGGCGGAGCATTGAGGCTGGATACTGGCAGCAAAGCCATTGCAGTCTGAGCACCTGCGCAGAGAAACGGTTTGGCGACACGTGTTACCGGGAGCTGTCTGGCTACCGGTCAATTATCCACGAATGCCCTAGGTTCAGGCGAGCGAATGGAAAGAGCTGCCGCACTACCATGCCAAGGCCGGTCATCGAATTACTTCAGAGCCGAAGCAGACATGAACTTTCTCAACTCCGCGTGCAACTTTGTTTGAACCGATTTTCCGACGTTTCCGCTTGGCCCACCGTTGCCCACCTGGCCGCCGTTAGGCGACACTCGTAAGATCGCCGGTGGGCGACTCTTCAGCTTTTTGTTTGTGAGTTTTGTGTCGGGCTCGAGCCGGCCTTTTTTTTTTTTTTTTTNNAGGGCGAGTGCAGAAAACGGAGCTCAGCAGCTTTGGCAAAGACATGCCAGGGCGAGCCCTCCGCAAAACTCGCTTACGCAAGGTTCCAGGTTCAACAGCACTTCGGGCAAAGTAATTGATGTAAAGACTCTATTCCAAAGCTCTTGCTAAACGCTTCACGACATCATTTCAAACTTTTTGCGGAAGGGGCGGTGCCTTTGCAACCTCGCAGCGTACTTTCCTGTTTCCGACATGCCTTCCCTCCCCGGCTGCCAGAACAAACATTAGGGCATCCCTCGCCAAGCGTAACGTGCGGGGATCAGCAGAGGCTAGCCGTTTTCATTCAACTGCCTTCATCCTGAAACGAACCAGACAGAACGAAAGAGACTTTCGAGAAGCTAGTTTGTTTGATTTCAGGCTCTCATCGACAGACGGAGGGAGAGAGACTCGTTTCCCATGGAACCCGTCAGAAGCGGAAGCCAGAGACTTGCACGGCGTCCCTCAGCCGGGAACGCGCGAAGCACAGGCAGCCTTCATCCGCCAGCTCTTGAAGGCCAGGCTCGATGTGTTTTGGGGGGCTCCAGGGCAGCATGTCCGGTAATCAGAGTCTCAGATTGCTTCGCGTTGTTATCAACGTTTGCCAATGTTTGCAAGTCCGGCGTGCCGCAGGACAACGAGCTGTTGACCCTTTGACTGATGTTGGCACCCGAAAACGGCCTGTGCATTTCGAGTCTCCGGCCGGAGTGCCACGCCGAACATTCGCAAACAAGTCCTTTGACATTGGAGCTTCCTGAAGCGGCCTTCCGTTCCGTGCCTTTTGCTCAGCTCTGTGCCCACATGATATGATAAGCCGGCGCGGGGCACGCCTTGCAGCATTAAGCTTCTTCAGTACACCGTACATCTGACCGTGCACCATCTGCCACGTTGCAACATGGGGAGGCGAACCGCTCTCAGATCTGACTACACTACTGCTGTAGAGGACGGCCCAGATAACAGTGCTCACCAGGCCTCCGCTCAAGAAAGCTAGGATCCCAGTGGCCGTAGCATGAGCAGATGGAGACCCTGCGAGGAGCACAGAGTTGTGGGCGAGGGAGTCCTAGTGGTCCCAGTCCTTGGACGTCGATGTAAAAACATCCAGTGCACCTGTGATACGAGTACATAGGCAGAGCGCGCTTGGGCAGAGAACTTGTAAATGGAACTGACGTGGTCCACCTCGTGCTCCAAGGTTTGGGCTGTTCGAGGCAGCCACCTGGGTCAACGAGGTCCTGTCCCGTACAGAGGAAAAGACCTTGGAATTGCAGGGGCCCTACGAATTTCCGCAACTCATGTGCGTGTGGGTTGCAAAGGAGCCCCTGTAGTATGGGGCTAATGTTCTTAGCAAAGCATCCTTGGCAAGCCTCGGTGGCTTTTGCAAGCAGATTCCGTCTTGGAAGTGTTTACCCTACAACCATCCAAGGGAAAGCCTCTCCGTGAATGTGCAGAGCGTTTCGCAATCGATCTGCACATGGTCCCAGAGCGTTCCAGAGGAGGACTTGACAGTCAGAGATCTTCTGCAACAGCAACCTCGGAGAGTAGTTACTTGCGAACACGTAGGCTGTAGATCTTCGTCGGTGGATCGGCAGGACCGTAATGCGGTCTTCAATTCCAACCAGGTGCCTCTAAAGCTCCAGATCTTGGGCTCGCTGCGAAAAATGTTAGAATAATGACAGGGTTGAGACCGAAGACACGCAGAGTATGAAGGCTCTGGATTCAACGAAACACACTCTCTGTAGATCGGGGTTGGTGATCGCGCTGGTCCCGGTTGATCTTTGCTAGCTGATAGTGTAGATGACATCACAGCTTGGACCCCTCGATTGCATTCTCTCAGTTGGCAGGTGTTTCCGCACCTGGCGAAGGTGTTGCACCAAGCCAAGGAGGCTCCAGCCCAATCATGTAGTGCAGCGGTCCAGATGTATCCAGATGGGTTAAAGTTGACCAAACCACGTGGCCATACTTGAGACCAGCGTGCAGGAACGAAGCTTCCTACCCAGAAAGCAGTGGGATGTATGAATTTCAAAACCATGTGACGTCTGTTCAAACCTGTGTGAAGTCGAAAGACCGACATTGGCCTCCGAGGCCCCACGTTTCGGCCATCCAAGTGCTTTTGGGCGCCTCTGCAGGTTATGGCACGGAATCAAAAGCCGACCTCGCCAGAGAGCGCGGCCCTGGAGGCTTCCGGCCTCGGGAGTACAAGATGCACCGAACACTCCCGTTAAACCCAGAGTGCCGGTAGGCTTCGGGGCTTGGTGGGGCTGACAGCGGCAGGAAGTCTGGCAGGAAGGGTTGGATTGTGAGACGCTCGACGGCTTGAAAAGAAGGTGCTTCTGCAGTCGGAACCGCACTGGAGAGTTTTGAAACTTCAGTCGCGAACACACCCATGCAGGCAGGGCAGACTGCGATATAGAGACCGTCGTCATTGATGATCATGCGAGTCCGAGTAGCACCAGTGTGCAGGACTCCAAGCCCGCCAATGGTGCCCATCTCAGTCACCGCACCTTCGCAGGGGCTGAAGTCGAGAGCCCTGCATTTGTTCTCTGTCTGTCTCTCTCTCTCTCTCATATCCCTCTTTCTCCCTCTGCTGCCTGTGAAAGTCACTTTTCTCAAATTCCTGAAGCGGCCAACATGGCTTCAGGTTTTCGGGGCATCCTCAAAGAGGGGATGAAGCAGGGTTCCAGGAGCGTTGCCGAGCTTGCTTCTTTGCATGTCGTCTTGCTGTTGCAACATGGTCTGTGTTTGGGCACTGTGTGATCAGCCAGCCTTGAAACCCGTTATGGCATTATGGTTGCTGGAATAGTTTGCATAGTTTGCCCTTTCCATTTGCCAGCTTCTGACAGGACCCTACAAGAAGGTCTGGAGGCGGCAGCCGCCGTCGTTGTGCTCAGGGGTGTTGCTTCTGCAAAGTTCTCTTTTCCACACTCGTGGAGCTACACATGAAGGCGACCTACAAAAGAAAAGCAGCGCATTTAGAAGTGCTTTTGCAAGCCTGCCCCAAATCTTTCAACTTATTCACAGACCAGCACATTTCAAGCCGTTTAGTTTAGGGTTTAGGGCATCAGGGTTCTCCGGAGGCCCTCAGCAGCAGGGTGGGGGCCGTGGGCTCCGGCCTGCTACGTCTTCCTGAGGACCTTGCAGTGATCACCTTCTGACTTCTCCTGTCCATGCTTTGGGTCGAACGGGGGAAGTTCGAAGTGTTGGAGGCATTGTCGCTGCCTTCATCTGCCTTCCATGGCCTTGCATTGTAGCAATACCAGTCCAGACTGCGCGTGGATGTAGAGTTGCTTCTGACAAAGTCAGGAGTAAATAGCATACATGTTGGGCCGTCTGTGGATTGGCGATATAATATGTTTGATGGTAGTCTGGTTCTTTGCACATGGCGAGGATGAGCTGAGCAAAGTGAAAGAGGTGGGAGTAGCTGAGTAGCTGCGCTGGAGCCATTGTTCTCTGCTGGGGCTCCTCCCGTCAAGCCTGCTTAGAGCTCGATTTGAACAGTTGCATTTCCCTGTTCTGCAGCCAGCAGGCCAACGAGACCATCAGCAGGCTGTTGCCAACACTAACGCTTCAGGGCAGCACTCATCGAAGAAAAAGGGTTTGGGCACAGAGAGGGCGCGGCACTGCTTTGCAAGCATAGCAGCAGTTTAAGCTGCTAGGGTAGCCGGTTAGCCGTGACTCAGAGTAATGCTTCCAGATGATTCGCAGGAAATCGGGGTTAGAGTCAATTCGGTTCCAAGCACAGTCTCATGTTGAATCGAGTTTGCGTGCATTCAAGCAATGAGAGGCCGAGGCAGGTTCTGTTTTGACAGACACTCCCTGGTGCAAGCATCCAAGGCTGGCCATTCAAGCAAACAGCTTGCGAGGCGAGTGCTTCTAGCCACGTTACCTCTGTTTGGCCTCCCTCTCCGCTACTGGTGCTGATGACAGGTTCCAAGCGAGGGGCTGACACCCCTATCTCGGATGAGCCGGCGGCAGTGCCCTCAGCAGCCTTAGCAGAAGAGAGTATCCAGTGCTCAGTTTTTTTCAGGTGCGATGTTGAAGATTGCGCAGTTGTCGTGTTGGTCGTTCATCTCCATCCTATTACCTGCGTCTCCTCAGAACCGAAAGCCCCATGCTGCAACTGAAAATGCTACTCAGCCAGAAGTTCCGGCTTGAAACGCATGGCATTCCTCTCACGACCGTGTGCTTGCTTTGATCATTTTGGCACTCTTCGGTTGTGATATGCTGCAAGGATTTGCAACAAGTGCAGCAACGCAAGTTTGCAGTGGTCACATGCAAGCACAAATGCTATGCATCGTGTTATACATACAGGTATTCCGTCCGTGTAAGCATCGTCAGTCAAAGACATCATGTCCCAGGCGCAGCGGCCGCGCACGGCTATCGAAAGTGGGAGCAGCAACGCTGTTTCGAGCCTATGTCCCGGACCACGCTAAACCAGTTGACGTGTCCTGTAGCCTTGAAACATGACGGCAAGCATCCATGGGCATCGGCGCAGCGATGCCGTGAAAGAAGATCCTGATTGAGCGACTTGTGCGAACAGTGATTAGCACGTCTGCCCCAGATCACACATGTTCCTTTCTGACATGCTTTCCCGCGTTCTCTCCAGGGAGCGAGTCGAGCTCCACGCAGCAGCCGGGCACCGAGGCCTTCTGAGAAGGGCGCAATGTTAGGTGTGACAAACCTGAGAAATGGTCGCACTTAACCGCGACTTAATGTATTGCCAATACAGTCCTGAACCCGCCCAAACGCACTGGTAGCTTGAGAGGAGCGGCGGCCGCTGCTTCATTTGGATTTGGTCTCGGATGCCCCCTTTGCCGAGAACCGTGACCAGGGCACGCTGACGACCCTGGACTGTGTGGAGTGGGGGAAATAATCTGAAGGTTTTGCTTTTCATATACACATTCTCATGACACATTGTGTCCGTGTTTGCACATACTTTTACATATATATATATACAGATATGTTTGCAATTGTTTGCATATATGGGTGTGTCTGTGCATGCATATAGTCGCAGGGCTATCTAGGAACAGCCGCTTGCATGGAGGACCTGAAGCCTGGTGTTGCCCAGAGTACGACCTCGCTGGAGTCAAACGACACCTCTTTAGGCCTGGACTGCGGACAGAGTGCTCTGGAGAGTTCTCGTGGTGCACTGGGGCATGTAATTGCCGCAACAGGTTTAGGATTCCAAGGCGCGTACGCACTGAACGGGCTGTAGTTCAAATCATTTCCGAAAGTGACAGGTGACGATTCCGGGAACGTCAGGCTCGATTTGGTGTTGTGTTTGTCTGGAGGTTTCGTTGGTCGGCACTGGCTCGACGATTCCCGACGTGAGAGTTTGGGACTAGTGACTAGGCAGGGTAAGCAAGACCAGCAAGCTGTGCGTGAAAGGCCACTAAGAGTTAGTTTGTGGTCCGCGCTCGGTTTTTGACTGATCGTGAGGTACACCTCACGATGCACAGGCCCGTCGCAGCCGCATCTTTCCCTTCACGTTTGCTCAGGCTGGTCCTGGGCAGAGCAGACCTCCAGAAGCGAGTGCGGATCCTAGATTCCTAGACATCCACGCCTCATCTGTAGCCCAAAGTGATTCGTGAATCGAGGTGACACTGCAATTTCCTGCTGCAGCGAAGAGGAAAGCCAACTCAGTACTTCAGTTCGTCAGCCTTGCCCTCGGCCCCTCATCGTTTTGCACGAGGTTAGTAGTTAAGACATGTTGAGGCCGAGTCCGCATGCTTGAAGAGAACCGTCTGCACGTGGGTGGGTCTTTTCACTTTCCATGGGCCCGTGCAGGTCGGGAGTTCCTCCTCCTGGAGGTGCCGGACACCTCCAACATTGCGCCAACGCAGGAGCAACTCCGGTTGTCTTGAGCTGGCGAACGGACTTGTCGATTCTTTGGGGCGGCCGATCGTCGTCTCGATTTCAGAGTTTCATAGATGTCCCTGGGAGACTGAAGCGATGGGCTCCGGGGCAAATTGTACTGCAACGCAAGCAGAGTAAAAACGGTGGTCTATTATAGCAGCATCTCTTTTTGTGGTGCCATCTATCTAAATCTTCGCCACCTAACTCGTTGTTGTGGTGTAATGAGAGCAAGAGTGCGGATCATCAGAGTCATCGGCCTGATCGAGATGGTTGTAGCATACGGGTTACCGGCGTGTGCTTTGCTTTGCCAGCCGTGGTCTGCCGTGGCGAGGGCCAGGCGAACTTCTGTAGTTGTCTGCATCTGTATCGAGTGTCGGAGTGGCAAGCGCGTGATGCGAAGTAAATGCACCGCACGGTGCAGGGCAGCATGGAGATGGCCACTTTGGTTTGGGGCTGCTGGAACGACAGCCAGCAGGACGCAGACGAGTCGGGCGCTTAGCTAGCTCCGGATGTTCACGCAAACTGAGAGATGTGTACATACATCTAAGTATACATGCATAAATGTAAACCACGACATGTCTGAGTACGCCTGTGTACATCTGTCCATGCCGCTACGTGGCCTTGTGTATTTGCACAGAGAAGCAGATGTCTTAAAATTAGGCTTCACATTGTGGAGTTACTACCAGTACTAGGAACAAATGTACTTTACATGTCGACGGGTAGCTGGACAGATGGATAGGTTAGAGCCATACTAGCTTCCACGGTTAATCAGCACCAGCTAATCCTACAAGTCTCTGGCGGGTTCCGTTTCTGGGCCTCCAATAGAAACTAGAGGATTACTATTGGGGGTTGGCGGCTGGCCTTACAAGTGGTACTACTGCCAGTACTGTCACGAAGGGGAGGGGCTTACGATGGTTTACGTGTAGAAGTCCCAAAACAATCTACGGGGTTCTAGGGAATCCAAAGCGAGCCGTGAGATCCTGAGAGGAAGCCACCCTTGGCATACGTCAGCGGCCTAAAATCTGGCTACCATCTTCGCAAGATCCGGGAGACCAGGTGGAGAGCGCGGGTTCTCAACGTGGCGTGCTTCGCACCGCATGTCATGGGTCCTAATTAAAATCCCAAACGAGGTGTGAAGCTGTATGCAGTACTAGGCGGCCGACACGTCGGGTGCATGCACGCTAGGAACATAAAAAGGGTTTGGGTTTGGGTGTTCCATTCTCCACTTCGGTTGGTCCCTGAACAGGTGGACCTGGATTGCCAAAGGCGATAAGGCGCCCGATGCTGCGACACGTGTGATTCGCAATGTCCTTCGCTCGCGATGTAGCTGTGATTCGCGTCAGAGTCTTCCCATTCCACATGACGCGCCTCGATCCCCCAACAACGTGCCCCGCTTGTCAAGGCCAGCATCGAAGAGGGGGATACCATCGCCATCGTGCTGGAGTGCGCTGCCAGCATGTGACGAAGTTGGTTGGGCCTTTTGGGAATTTTTGGGGAGTCTCCGTCCGGTTCAGAGCTCGGATGCAGCCCGGCTTGGCCCTAAGGTCGCCTCCGGGTTCTGAGGCCCCGGCCGCCCCGAATGACTTGAATGCTGAGGAGGCGGCGTCTCAGGCTTCTCAGTCCTTCGTCTTTGTCTTGTTCATATTTTAACTAATTGGGGTCATGACTTCTGTGGCTGCTCGTCGTCATGATTCCTGTTCTTACTGTCGATGGTCTGGGACAACTTCGTGTAGAGCGCTGCTCGTGAAAGATTCTCACAGTGCCACTTGCGATCCTGACTCCAGCCTGCTCGAACATGCCGAACATGCCCTCGTTGGGCAGAGTCGGTGCAGAGCCGGGGGAAGAATAGCTACTAACTACCATCATAGCTTACTGATAATAATTTTAACAAGCTGTCGTATCATCAGGGCGTCAGTCCCAAATCTATTCATCAGGTATTTCATGGGTTTGGTCGACGATTTCTGAGTGGAGGTCTGTGTCTTTACAAGGGCTTCCAAGTTTCAGGTCGCCATTCTGCATCCCTGCCCGCAGGCTCGCTGCATACTGGGCTGTGAACTCCGCCGCCCAGTGAACTGAGGCGGTGAGAGAGTCTCGCGGATAGTGGGTCATCCGAAGTGGGGACTGGCAAGCGAATGTGCTGTTGCAGTTGGAGAGTCACAGATCGGGTGTCAGCTGGGCAGTCCTCCATGCGAGCTCCGTCCGCCTACGTAGGAGTCCTGGGTGATGCCGCTCGACCCAAATTGGCAGTTGGGGCAGAGCATCGGATGCAAGTAGCTGAATGGAGTGGCAGTCTAGGCTTTAGTCTGCAATGTAGGCATTGTCACGATTGATCACTATTGTTGACTGGCACAGGTTCCATTCTTATGAAAGCAGCTGTCATAGTAACTGCCAGCCCGTCCTGACATCATTGTTAGCCCGCCAACTTGGCTCGTGTGTCGGCAATCACCACAGAAGTCTGCGTGATGCGACTGCATCGCTTGGATCGATCGATGGAAACAGACTTGATAACGTTTGGAACGAGCTGCAACTGCAGCCCTTTAAATGCAGCAGCAACGACAGAAGAAGCACGCGAGAGGAATATTGGCAGCCAGCAGATGTTGCACTATCGAGCTCCTCTCAGAAGTGATCCCTGCGAGCAGATTTGCATCATTTCGGCGTCTGTTTGTTCCGGGTAGCACTGCTGGGGACACGCAGATCGGCAACCCGAATCGAAATTTTGCCCTTCTGCCAGCTATGGGGCTTCTTGGAGCTCCACTGATTGCGTTTCCCATAGAGGCAATTAATTCATTAGGGTCCTGATGTCAGCTAAGCGATCTAGGATTTGAGACATGCTCAGCACTGCTCAGCAACCGCAAAGATCAGCCTTGAGCCGTCTCCAACGGGCATCGAAGGGCGACTTGGAAGCCATGCACGGGTTCCAGGGATTTCTCACCGCAGGCAGTCATATACCTGCTTAGACGCTAGTGGATCCATGAGCACTGGCACATGCTCGGTAACAGAGGTTTCAGACATGTACAGTAATTAAGCCAAATTCAGCATTCTGTTATGCCCCCACCAGAAACTTTCCAGATTGCAACTTGAAGCAGCCCGTGAACTGATAACAAGCTTAGTTTATGATGATGGGTCATGCATCGAGAGCTTGCAAAACTCGGAAGAAGCAAGGGCTAAATGCAACCGGATGAAACTGAGTCCCATTCCCCGATGCCCTCACATGAGAACCTTGAAACTGTGCACTCTTGAGCACTCTTGTAAGAGCGTGTGCCGGTGTTTCTGGGTCTGGCCACTCTGCGTGAAGAAAAAGGTAGCAGTGTCTCGTGGCTCGTGCAGGTGGGGGAAAGTGATCCTTTTTGAGGATGCCTTCATAGCGTTAAGAGCGCGAGCCCGATGTGAAATCAGCTTCTCAACAGGCTTGGCGCGAACATGCAGAGATTGAAATCTGTTTGATGACAGAAGTTAAGACGCAGCTACACGACTGGCTGCGAACAACGATGCGAATTGCATACCTCATGAGTGTCTGCAGCTGTCGCGCGGTAATTTGGCTCCAGCGTTTGAATCTTACCGCTCCCCTGCGTCGTTTGAGTGAGGCGTTTCCACGGTTCATAAGGATGGACCCTATGGGACTGGTGCTTCCCACCCCAAGCAGACCGCATCGTGTGGCTTCAGCCGTGTGCGTGGAAGCCGAGCGCCATCGAGCGCCCATACGCAAGCTGCACAAGAGCCTTTTTGTGCTGAGATACTTGTACACACAGAACCGCCCGCCTTGGAACAGGCCATGCCCACGCGCAGGGAGCTCTACGGCTTGGGGGCAGCAAGCCTCATGGTGCGCCCCCTGAACAGCAGATTGCTTGTTTGGTGCTTTGCGATGACCTCTGGCTCACCACACGGCATGCAGAAGGCCCTCGGGAACACTTGAATTAGTAGCTTGAGTTTCCAACTGCACAACCCTGGACCGAGTCGTTTCCGGAGTTACACGCCATGCCATGTATTCACGCGAGGGACCGTCAAGGACTTCGGGCGCACATGGTTGTTTTCACGATCCAAGTGCCAGGCGCTGTCTGCGCCCACCCTGCTGGAGAGGGCGTCAGGGCTTCGGAAGGGCCGAGACTGTGCTGTGATCGGTTTCGGTGTTGCGCAGTCGGGTTTAACTGGATCGCTGAAGTTTCGAAGGTTTGTAGCACCGGGCACTGCCAGCAGCCGGCAGAGGACTGTGGAAGCTTTGTGCTGGACATGCAGGATCCACGTGAGTTGGCAGCATCACACTCTTGCTGATTGCTGGGCAGGCCGTCATTCCGTGCCACCGCTCAAGGACGGTCCGATGAGCATGCATGAAGTACAGCGCATTACCGGACTTTAAGACTTACGTTGCAGTGTGTATGGCCCGGGTCAGGCAAGTCATGAAGATCCGTTCCTAGGTCGCAGTTTTGATTTTGCTGTACATCTCTAAAGGACACGTGGCTTCGGCTGGGTCGTCCTCAAGTGCCGGCTTCGGACCGTCCATGCTTTTGCAGCGAATGTGCGTTTGCCTTCGTTGCCTCTATGGAAAACTGAGCACATTGCAGTGCAGGGTGGCAAAAGCTGTCAAGAGATCTTGAGGTACTTCGCATGCTGCCTTGGCCGTCGGGCTTTCGGCAGCACTTGGCGCTGGCGCTGGCGCAGCGAGGGCGGCGCGACCAGCGAGGTCGAGAAGGGCCCAAGGGCCGAGTGTTTCCAGGTTCAGTTTAGGTAGCTTAGTTGTTGGAAGTGTCGGCGATTCTGCAGGTCCGTCTGGCATTCATTGCTTTTAGACCTGGTGCCTTAGTGCATGGACTATGTACTTGCAGAACGGTGGGAGCCAGGCAGCTAGGTTGTTTACTAGCGCAGTTGCAAATCGGAAGGTCGCCGAAGGTGCATCGCGCGCAGGCCCGTTGAGTATGCTTCCGACGCTTTCAACGGTCGAAAGCGCTGCAGATTCATCAGATAGACTGGCAGACCCACCAGAGCAGCAACGCTGGATGATTGCTCCGTCGAGTAATCTTACCTTCATCTTCCCACTTCCCACCGCCACATTCAGCGCTCTGCTTGTACAGTTGCCGAAGGATGTGTGCCTATAGAGCCAGTTTCATTTAAGTCATTCAGTCTGTCTTGCAGGCCTGCCTGCCTGCCTTCCTGCCTGTGTATTTGGGTAGTTGGGTGGGTAGGTAGGCAGGTAGGTACGCATGCATGCATGGATGGATGCGCTATAAGCAACATGCCTTTGACATTCAGTTCCTCCTATCCTGCACCACGCAGGATGTAAGTGCGGCCGCTATTGTTGAAGCGAGACAGGACGTGTTGCGGCATCTGTCCACTTCATGGCAGTTGGACGTTTCGAGAGTGTTTCCAGCATGTTCCGGAGACAGCTGACCCTTGCCTGCAGGGTGGTGAATGGACGCCGCATGGCCGGCATGCTTACAGCGAACCTTAGCGAAGCTGCAAAGCCGCAGGGTTTTTGATGAATCGTCACCCTAGAACTTCGCTAGAGCCTTGACAGGCGGCTTTCTGGCTGGACCGCCGCTGAGCTCGCCGCCTCTCGGACGGCAGAGCTGGTTGGATTCTCCTCGGCGCTTACAGGGCGCCTGTAGGCCGCGTGCGACAGCCGGGTTTGGTCTTGATTCTGGTCCCATTGCTCCTTGCGCCCAGGGCGAACGCCAACGTGCACAGGCAATGCCGGACCCTCCGGGCTACAACGGGCCTGCACCTCAGCGAATACCGGTCTGCAGGCTTTCGGACAAGGTGTCAACAAGATGTTGTAGGGTTTGGGGCTTGAAGCGACGACCTTCACCAGAGGGAGCATGAGCTTGGGTACGGGCTTTCACCGTTGCACTCCTGCCCACCAGGCCGCGCTACACTGGCCCAGGCAGCATCACCGACGCCTTCATTGATGTCCGGAGCTGAGTGCTGGAATGCATGACCATCGCAAGTGTCAGTCCGGCTTTCTCAGTCCGTCCTTGAAAATGAACAGGGTCTGCTGGCCATGCAGAAGGACGGCCAGCTCCTGCCGAAGAAGGAGACTTGACTGTCCGATTGGCAGAACAAGAGATGCGATCTCAAGGGCCAAGCACATTCCCTGCAGGATGCGTACTTGATCCTGTTGGACATCATCGATCTCCTCCGATCGGAAAAGACATTGGGCCAGGCCGGCTGATGCAGAGGTCACGCCGTTTTGCCACGTTTGGTCAAGCCTCGAGGCCTCCATTCCCGCCGGCGGTCAGCTTACAGTGATCGGCGACCTGCACGGCCAGTACTGGGACTTTTTGAACCTGCTGAGCATGGCCGGGCATTCGTGCTGTCTCGGCCAGGGTGCGTACTTCTCGCACAACCGAATCGACTGTCTGGCTGTGGGGAGTGTAGCTGCCGCATCAGCTAAGGCAGGTAAGTCCTAAGCTCAACACGGATCGCCAGCTCGAGCCACTCCTCGTAGTTGGCCTGTCCCAAAATCGTTTTTGTCGTCATCCGAGTTAGCATGATGTCGAGGCTGCTCTCGGTTTTTCTGTCGACGGTGAAATTCACAGGGCCTCAGCCCCTTTGCTTCACCGCGGCTCAGACGGGCAAGCCCTCGGCGAGTTCGCCCTTCGTCTTCAACGGTGACTTCGTGGATCGAGGCTCCTGGTCCATCGAGGCGGGGCGTGGCTTGACTCGCTCGGGCTTCACGCCCGTCTCAGCGCATGGCAGGTGATCCTGTCGATCTTCGCGCTGAAGCTGAAGGCCGCGGGAAACGTCCTTACACATCTTGCGCATGGCACAGCGAGTAGTCGATGTCACTCACTCAATCACTTCATTTATCCTGAGTGACACCTGCAGCAACAAAACCAAAGTGCGTGGCATGGCTTGCATGGCTCGCAAATCAGGATCCGCAGTCCGTCTTCCTGAACCGGGGAAACCACGAGATGCTGGAGACATTGGGCACATCAAGCCTAATCTATGTAGCAGCCAGCACACCCGGCTTGCTGTGAATTCAACAGGTTTCGGATTTATCAGATCATCCAAGAAACTTGTGGATTTTGCACGCATCTGGATGCAGATACAGCTGTTGGGACGACCCTTCCTCTTGGCTCTTGTGCCCGTGGTGTGAGGAGACGAACATCCTGTACGGCTTCTGTGGAGAATGCGGCTCCAAATATGTGCGGGTCTCAGCCGGCTGTGCACGACCGTCGGTAATTCCAAAGCAAGTTGCAAGCGAAAACACTGGAGCCCGAACGATCAAGATGTCCTTGAAATGCAAGTAGGCCAGAGACGAAGAACCGATGGCTCACGGATCGGGATCACACTGTCCGAAGATAAAGTGTGAGCCACAGATGTGAAGACTGAATTTGTCAGGACATGGAGCTCTTCAACCTCTTCTCTGAGGCCGTGCATTGTTGGAAGGATCACGGGTGACTAGGCTCACTTGGATGAAGGCCTTCCGGAATCTTCCGCTCGCCCACTTGGTGGACGGCAAGGCGCCAGTTTCCGAAGAGATTGGACGGCCATCGGATGTTGATCATACCCCAGCTCATGTGCGACAGCTGAACGTCTCTCGAAGTTCCGACGAGCCTCGCTTTCATCTTTTGCGCAGGTCTTGATTCTCCATGGCGGTCTCCCCGGCTGGGTCCTGAGCGAAAGCTCCTGCTCTCACTGCCATTTCGAAGTTCGTTTCTTGATAGACGTACTTGGGAGATTTTGGGAGCTTGGGCTGGGAGCAGATCAGCATGCGACACGCACGAAGAACTCACCCAAGTGTTTTTTGCTCCTTATTGTCCGGCCCCGCTCAGGTCCGGACCCCCGAATCTGGATGCCCGGACAGACGTGCTGGCCCTGGCACTTCCCGAGTCGACAGCAGAAAAGCCTGGACCTGAGCCGGTGTCGAGGCACGACCCCACGGATGCGATCCCGATGACCGTCCTTCCCACGCTGGAGGAGACAGCAGTCAAAGCTGGCCATGGACTTTCGGAGGGTGGCAAGAGTGTGGCAACATGGCGCATATGGCGCCTGGCCCAAGTTGTTCAGCAAAAGGGGCATTTGTCCAGGATATTGGCGCAGTGGACCGCTACCTGGAGATCACTCCCGAATCGTGCCAGTAGGATTCAGACTTGATTACAGCTCCAAGCTTGTAGAATTGTAGAAGCCATACAAGCAGCGGAAGTGACCTTTCGAGTCTTGTTGTGGAGCCTGAGCTTTGGTGCTCTGTACGGCTCATCGCCTTGCCCAAATCGGGAGGTACGGGCAGTCAATCGGCCCCACAACGACGGACAAGGAGGTGGTGCAATCGGAGTTTTAGCTCGCTGGCATGTCTGGCACCATACAGTGTCACGTTCACGATGTGCATCAACAGGCTTCCGTGCCGTGGTTTCGCTGCCTGAAAGCGTGCTTGAGCTCGACAGGTGAACGATATGAGGAAGCTGATCGACATCCTTTGGGGAGATCCCCGTGGTGGGGACGGGTCCGAACCCTGGCACCAGGGTGTGGGCGTTGGCTAAACCAACTGGAGCAGGCGGCAAGCATCTACTCAGGTATGGCCCTTCCTACAGAAAAGGCAAGGGTGTCTACATGTTTGGTCCGAGCCTTACTGCTGACGCCGGACGACGTACACCCATGCATGCATGCATAAACACATACATACTTTCACGTACTAGTAGACACATACGCGCATGCGTTTGCATGTGCCAGTGCGCGTGCACCTACACATACGCATTCAGACATGTATTCGCGTGTTTACACTTGCGTACACATGTACATCCATGATGGTTGTATACACATAGTGCCTGCGTATGCACATGCACTAGACACTTACACGTACCTATCATACGTGTCTACGTATGCACATACAGGCATACATATGCACCAAGACACGTGCATGCATGCATGCATACATACTTACACCCAAATACACCCATGTACCTACACCCCTGCACCCATACATACACTCATTGCCATACATCAGTACATACATACATAGATACATACGTACATACATACATACATACATACGAACGTTCGCAGGCACGCACGCACGCACGCACGCACGCACGCAGGCACGCACGCACGCACGCAGGCACGCACGCACGCATGCATGCACGCACGCACGCAGGCACGCAGGCGCGCAGACACGCAGGCACGCAGGCACGCAGGCACGCATGCGTGCAGGCAGGCAGGCAGGCAGGCAGGCAGTCGCGCAGCCGTGCACGCGCCGCAACACAACCCATCGCACGCACGGACGGACGGACGTACGTACGTGCATGCATACACACATATGTATGTCTGTGGACTTTTGTCGGTCTGCCTGCCTGTTTGTTTGTCTGTCGGCAAGTGGGCAGGTAGGTAGGCAGGCAGGAAGCAGGTAATTATGCAGGTGTGCAGGTATGCATGTGTATGTATGTAGGCATGTATGCATGTATGCACGTATGCATGTATGCATGTACGTTTGTATGTCTGTCTGTCTGTCTGTCTGTCTGTCTGTATGGATGCATGCATGCATGCATGTATGCATGTATGCATGTATGTTCTCTGAGATGGAAATTGGTGGTGTGACGGCGATGAGGTTCATTAAAATTACGATAATGACAACGATCAAGTTGCGTTTGCTGTTGGTGGTGATGATGATGACGATGATGCCAACTGCCCGGACCCCCCCATGCCCCTCCCCTACACTCGCCACGCACAGCCTCGCCACATCACCGACAGTGAATCGCACGATCTTTCGGTCACTTTGATCAGTTTTCGTTGCCCTCACAATCGTCATCGCTATCGGTATCAGCATAGCTGCCGAGGTCCCGATGTAACTTCCAACTTCTGCGAGAAGAACAACCTTCAGTGCATCATCCGGTCACACGAGGCAGAGTTGAGAATGCAACAAAGCGCTTTCGGACCATCGGACGGAGATTGTCTCGGCTCATGCCCAACGGTCCAGCTTCTCGGTTTTTCCGGTGGAACTTTTCGCTGCAGGTGAAGGCCGATGGATACAGGCCGGCGACCGGATCTCGCTAAAGCCAGGGAGATGGGACCTTCTTCCGGTCGGGCCGGAGGGGTGGCCTTCGTGGCTTGCACGGAGTGCTTGGAATCAGTTCGGCTTGGCAAGGCGGCAACCCTAGCACCTCTCCACTTCTCTCAAGGTGGGATCACAAGCAGCTGCTGAGCGTCTTCAGTGCCCGGTCCTCAGCCCCGTCTCTCTGTCAGGCTCAGAGAGTTTCTGAGGCCTTGCCGAGACTGGCATGTCAATGAGCATGGAACCACGTACCAAATTATGCAAAGCCTGAGTTCCTGGCATGACCTGAAATGTCTTTTGACTGTATTTGCTTCCATGCGTTTTCGAACTGGAACATCTCAGCTACGACCAGACCCTTCTGCTCCCAGGCACCGAACTACTTGGACACTGGCAATAACAAGGGAGCTTTCCTGAAGCTGACCAAGTGCTCTTGTCATGGCTTTCGAGTACCGCTCGCTGGCAAGGTGTTCATGTCCCCTGCAGATATTAGTGGCGCTGGGAAGGTAGCTGCTGCATCTCCAATTGCCAGATTCTGCTAGACTCGTCACTTCTGACACCGCCATTGGCGTATCAACACCATTAGCCGTTGTGGGAGAAGCCGCCAGGTCCGCAGATGGCAGTGTCGCGATAGATCCTGTCAACTATGCGGCAGTCCCCCACCCTGATGTGCCGCCCATGAAATGGCAGGAGAGCAAAAGCATGACTGGGTTTTCATAGTCTATGCTCCGAAGGTCATGTTGTCAACCAGTCAATAGCAATGGCAGCTGCAGCAAGGATCACATCACGCAGAATTATTCTCATCTCACCCGGCTGATGAAGAAGAAGGCACGAGCGGAGATCAGAATGACTTCAAGCGTCGTCGGCACGCCTTGCTGATAGTCTGAACTTTTAACAGGTTTCAGCCACTACCTTCGACGAGTCACGCCCCCACATGGCTGGAGCGCAGGGCATTGACCGCTGAGAGATGTCCCTGCCAAGAATTCGGCTTTCCCATAGCCCAATCCCGCAGTGATGCAAGATGCAAGGTTCGGTGACAGCGACTTCGAGGGATTGATGAACTTCGACGAGTGGGAACCTGACGAGGCATGCGGCATCTCTTCTGGTGCCTTTTCTAGCACACATAGGTCACCGAAGCTGCTGACGTCCCTTCCCGCGCGTCCTGCCCCTGGCCGGAACGGCGCAAGCATGTTGCGTGCAGGCCGAGCAGTTCCAAGAGGCCTTCAAGGCTCCCAGCTTCAGTGCAGAGAGACCCAAGCGTGGCCTTGCGAGTTGGTTCCATTGTGTCAGTTGCGATGCGATTCCGAAATCGAAACTATCACTCCAGACTAGAACTTTATTCCGGTGCTGCGAAGGTGGACGAGTATGGGCGCGACCTTTAACAGTCGCGGAACTCAGCTCGTGTAGACGTTCACCAAGCTTCCTGCCTCCGGACCGCCACAAGGGTGGTGTGAGAGGGGCCAGCATTTTAAAGTCGCGCCTGCCGCAAGCCTCGGATTGCCTTTGGACCTGCTGGGCAGTTTGACGAGAGTGCTGAACCTCCACATCAACGTAAACCGAGACTTGGCTATGTGTGCTTTGGTGGCACCCCAACCGGCTTTGTCAAGCTGGCTATCTGTTTATCTGGGCGACGGTGCGTCAGCTGTCTGTCCAGTTGCTCCCCAATGACGGGATGATATAGCAGCTATAGCATCTTTTGAAGACAAGATTTCAAAAGACCTGCAAGGAGAAGGACGTTCCAAAACTGGTCAGCTCTTCACGGCTTCCTGGCTTGGGTACTCGGAAACTTGGGTCCTGTGTAAGTTGCAGTGGTTTACATTCCAAAGGTATCCAGTATCCAGAGACCCTGTCACAAGCTGGCAGGACTTCGCAGTTGGAGACTCCGCCGGCTCGAAGCGCTATTTTCACGGGCACGCAAGTAACATACAAGCCAAGCTTACCCAACCCTCAAGTACTCCTACAACAGACTCCGACCAGCCTGACCGACATAACCCAAGTCATGCGACCCTCAAACTGGGACGGACCGAGTCAGGAAGATCAAAACCGCCGCGGGACATACATGGAGACGATACTAACCTTGACCTGCACTTGTGAACTCGCAGTGTGGATCGAGCCATCGCACTCATGGCGGATCAATCGCAGGCGCATTGCATCGTGAGACAATGTGAGACAGGAATGCTTCTGGTCAAGTGGACTCGAGCAAGGTATGGTGGCAGGAGTTGTGACGATGTTCTGTGGACTTGTTCAAAAGGTTGCGCTTTCAGTGGCTAGCTGCCCCAGCTTCCTCGTGCTTGATGTCCGTTGTCAGGCAGTCGTTCCGATAGTAACCACTCGAACCTGATGTTGTCACGCCGACTGCCGCGGAGCTTGGCTCCAGCCTCCACTGTCCTCAGCCTCAAACATGGGGTGGAACTGGTTCCTCCTGCCGCTGGCAGCGGCTCAACTGGAGCCCTTTGCGTTGCCACCCAGCTTTGAAGGCGAGTCCAGCGGGGAACAGCACCATAGGCTCCAGTCATGGCAGCTTCCACTTCATAGCTTGGGAGACATGTCATAGTGACTCCAGGTACCTGGCAGGGCGTACCCTACGCAAGCGTTGTGGGACCTTGGTCGGAAAACTTCACGTTCGCGATCACGAAACTGCCGCAGGGGGACTACCTGCAGCTCGGCCAAATGCAACCGAGTACCAGTAGGTCCTTGACTGGACCAGTTCGAGTGTTTGCATCTAGTATTATTATGGTAGCAGAAGCGGCTGTGCATGGCGTCAGTGGCATCGGTGGCGGTGCGACTGATCCGGCGGATGTGCTCATCCTCATTCATCCTCTGATTCCTTTTTCAGATTGTGATGTTCTTTTCCTGACGCCATGTGAGTGCAGCCCAGGTTTCAGGCGAATCTACCTTTCGATGCCTCTCCGAAATTCAGGCGCTGATTAACTGAAAGGGCTTCCAAATGCTTTGCAGAGACCTCCGCACTGGGACTGTCCTGAAGTGACGGATGATGGAGCAAAGGGTCACTTAGTGACTTAGTGTCTTGTTGCCCCACAGCTGCTTCAAGTCCGAGATCCAGCAAACGCCCATACGTGTCGCCGGAACCAGGTGAAGTAGAATCTTCGTGCTGCTGGTTCTACTTACTGTAATTCCACTGGGGCGATTGGAGGAAGTACTGGAGCTGGCAGAGATCCTACCTGAGAGTCTCTGGCGACGATCGCGGACGCCTGACACTCGCCGGCACAGCGCAGTCAAAGCCTTCTTTCCAAGCTCCGGTGTCATTCAGAATGTGTGGTAGAGCCATTGGTTTCGGCAATCTTGTGGAGGCTTAATGATGCAGCTCACTGTGCCTGAGCGAGCCGCAAGTAGATGCAGGCAGCTCATGAACCAATGAAAGCCAGTTGAATGTCCATCCGTGTCTCTTCCACCCATAAAACATCTAAATCCCTCGAACTTGTGAGAAACTCCGCAGCCGCTGGAGGAGAACCCCCGAGACACCTCCACACTGCACAGTCAGCACTTTTCCTCAGCAAGGCTACATTGCCCTGGACCCCGAGACCCGACTCGATTGCGTGTGGCTATGATGCAGGTGCCTCTTTCTTGTAGTGTTTTGACTTCAACATGTAGCTTCGTTTGACAGCGGTGATAGATGGTCCCAACGTCATTTGCTTGAGGTTCAGTGTAGTCTGGCTTGCTGGAAACGCTAGAGCCCACGGTTTGGAGGCTTGCTGGAGATGCAGCTGGAAGTTAATGGACGCGCATCGTTGTGCATTCAGAAGTCACGGGCTGGTTTCGGTTTGGCTCGAATGCATCCCTCTGAGCTGGAAGTCACTTCGGTGCGATTTCGGATCAAGGGTGTAGCGTAAGCGAATCTACAGGGTTCTGTCCTCTGTCCATGTCATGCTGGTGTCGAGTGCAGGCGCACACCGTGAGCGAACGGGAGGTGACCTTCTGTTTGAGGACGGGTTTTCAATCAAAAGTAGTGGAAGGAGAATGCTTGGTGTTGTCGACATGCTCATGTGACAATCGTTCGAGGAAGTGGCCCGGCTACGTAGACTCCGAGCATCCCTTCCCTTTCGAAACCCTTGGCTGCTATACGGCCGGCACGGAGGAGGGCTGCGGCTGCTTTAATTGGACCCTGCGTGCGGAGGAGTCCGGTCGGAGACTGCAGTATCAGGTCTCAATGGCGGGATCGCCGTTCCACCAGCGCTCAAAGCATGTGTGGGCAACCCTGGAAAGAATCCCCTACATCGCGCCGGTCGACCTTGAATTCCCGGGATCCGGCAGCCAGTTCGATTGTGATTACACGCACCGGGACGAGCATCAGACTCCGTTGGCCAGTTGCCCTTTTGCTTTGCATTACCGGTCACCCCCGGAAGTCAGCACAGTGGCGGCAGGCTCTTTCCAGCATTGCTACAACTTGGATGCCAAAGTCGGCCTAGTTTTGGAGTGGGATTTACATGAGACGACATCGTCCTTGCATGTCCAGATCTCTGCAAGGGCAGATACTGCAGACTACGTGTCAGTCGGATTCCGGCCACTAGGTGGCTCCTCCAGTGAGTCAGCAAGGAGTGCAGGCACGGGTCGAGAAGAGCGCTTCGGGATGGCTGGCGCAGACATTGTTCTGGGACACACAGGAGGGGTGGAGCAGTATTATGCCAGCGCTTACTCAGGAGCCCCGGATCCAGATGACTCGCTGCAGATTTGGGATGCCTCTGTCGAGAAGCGGGGAGGGCGCCTCTTCTTGCGCTTCCGGCGGCCTTTGGTGGGCGGCTGGCTTCACTCCCATGGTGTGAATGCCTCCATCCTCTCCAACCTGTCAGATATGATGTGGGCTGTAGGGAGGTGGAGCCAAGCCGACCGGGCACCTGCCTACCATGGATTCCTGCGTGGCTGGAGGGAGGTGGATTGGGCAGATCCCGAGTTGGACTCCCGTCCGCTTCTCTCCTTGCGTCCCTACAAGTGTGGCATGACCCTCCACCCCTAGGGCCCTAGGGCCCCAGGCCCTAGGTCAAGCTGTTGAAGTCTTCGATTCACTGTGCAGTTTGGAAGGTCGGCTTGTACAGGTCACAGCCTGCATCTGGCTGGAGCCGTGAAAGGTTTTGCTGCAAGCAAGTCGCACGAACGAGATGAGCAGCCAGGCTGCTGTCTTGTTTGAGTTGCCATTAGTAGCTGTGGAGGCTCGACGGAGACAGTCCATGTACAGACCTTGCATGGCATTGGTCTTAATCATGTTCGGATGCTACAGGCCCCTTCTACTGACCATCAGCAAGACCCTAGGTTGTTCGTTTGGTTTGAAGTAAAGAGACATGTTTGCATCAGCGTGTGTACAGCAACAGCGTGCCAACAGGGCCGCACAGAACTCGCGCGCCTCGGACCTCCGTCGTCAAGCGACTTTGTGGACCTGGCCTCGTGCTTGCAGGTCGCAAGATTTCAACCGCTGGGCTTACCTGGAGGAAAAATCTTCGCTGCTCTGGCCATGGACCAGTGTTTCAAGCTCCATGAGATGCGATTCCACACCATAACGTGTCAGATGACCAAGCTCGTCCCACGTCTCACTTCAAAGCCGATCCCCTTTGATCGAAGTCTTGCTGCTCACCCTCTCCTAAGCCTCGGCCGCCACAAATCCGCAGGCCGGTGCGCAGGGTGGACAGAACGCCAAGGACAGCGTTCCAAGAGAAAGCGGCCTGCATCGTGGTGCCCTTTGCCTTCGACTAAGTACATCAAGATGAGGTCCCCTGTACACCGGTTTCCACTCGTGCGTTCGCAGGATGCGCCAGAGCTTCCGAAGCCAGAGATGCACATCACCGACATGAGTAAAGCAGAGGCCACAAAGCCAGAGCTTCGTGGTTTTCAGATTTACACCCCGGCATTGAGGGCAACACTAGGAGACTTCAGGTTCAGTCTACACTACGCGAGACTGGTCAGCAGCCTAGCAGGTGGACTTTGCCATAGAGGTGGCGAAGAAGGGCCGCGTTCTCGGAGATTTTATGGTACTTGCCATGGAGTCCCGGGGCACAAGCCACGGACTTTAAGCGAGCTTGCCTTGACCCACGAAGGCGTGATCTCGCTGTTTAAGAACGAGAGACGATCCTTCTGCGAGGCCCTCCCATTATCTCGAGACTCCTTTTGACACATGTGGCAGAAGCAGGTTTTCGTGGAGGTTCCCCAAGTAATGGTAGTGAGACTGACGTCTCCGCTGTCGGTTACATTTTCTTCCTATAACACAGCAGGCACGCATGTGCACTCGTGACATGGGGAGAGCATGGGGAGTAAACGAAAAGTCGGGTGCAAAAGGAGGACGAGGAGGCTGATGACCATGTCGCGAAGTGGGATGAAACCCTGGACTAGCACTTGCCATGTGGGGTTTTATCAGTCTGTGTCTGCTGCAATGCCACAGCCACGTGACAAGCTTTTCGGAAGTCCTCTGATGGCCTGTGATCGGATTTGATTTGAACACGAGAAGGGCCCTTTGGCAGGTTGCTCAGTTCATCAAGAAAGAGTTCGACAAGCTCTTCCGACATGATTACTTGTCAGCTCGTCTTTCTAGTCATGACTTGCCATAGGGGGGTCCAACTCTTGTCGGAGATCTGCTTCACAAAGCGCTGTGACTCCAGGGCCTTCCAGGGTGCGTGGCACGTCTTCGTCGGCAAGCACTTTGGAGCCTGGGTCACCTACGAGGCCTGTCGAGTTGGATTGTGGTTTTCTGCTGGCAACCACAGAACTTGCCTGGCATCTCTGGGTGTCATGCATCTAGTCACTGGTCAGTATGTTGTCATCAACACTCCGGCAACGAGGCCGTTGTCATGCGTAACGAGCACACGCCTGCGCACAGTTCTGCATGACATTTACTTTGGACGCGTTTGCGCGCGAAGCTGTTTTGCTTCCCACCCGTGCCCTCCCCACAACGCGGTGCAGACTGCAGGCGCACCGAGGTGCACTTTTACCGGGCACCTGCGAGGGAGTCAAAGCCCCGAGTTTTGCCGAGAGCTGTCGGGACCCCTCGGCTTCTCACACGTGTGGTGGTATCCCCTGCCGTCGGTGGGCCGCATCATAGCAAGATTGAGGCAGCTTGCTACAACATGCAGGACCGCAAGCAAGGGGCGAAACTGAAGCCGGCCGCCGTGGAGACCTTGTTCAAACCGGCCCACGGACGAACGTGAATGAAGGGGTCGCGGAGAACTTCTCGTTCTTCTTTCTGGCCAGGCTTAACTGAAACTGTAGGGATTCCGGGCTTAGGGCGGGAGTTGCCGACCGACCAACGAGGAGTGATCTCCCTCCAGAAGTTACTCTTACAAGCTGGCAACCACCCACAGTTCTTTGAAACAGTGTCAGAGGTACTTATGCAGACAGCGGATTATTTGTCCTCATCTTTGCTTGGCAGCGCAGAAAGCACCCGTACACCCTTAGGAAGCAGAGCTTCCTGATAGAAGTGCAAAGGGAGACATGACATGCGTGCAGTAGCAACTCCCATTTCCAGCCAGTAAGAGACTTGCCGATGTCTCGGAGCACGTAGGTAGATACCCGATCAGGCGCACAAGCTCGTCTACTTCCACATCGGGCAGGCCCGTGCCCCCTGCACATTGCCCTCTTGGCTGGACATGCCCGGGACAGATCTATTCCCTGTCACATAATGCCTGAAACGTTATGCTAGAATGAGGCGGGAGCAAGGCGATCCCTGCTTTCCCCAGTTAAAAGTTCACGCGTGGTTGCATTTTGCCGGCCACGGTTTCTTGACCTATCACATATTTAACCAGCAGTTTGAGGTTGTCGTTCTTCTCCTGTGCAGGCAGGCTTTCTCATCTACAAGCATGGCTGAGGATCCTTTCCAGGGTTTCACCCGCTACGGAATTTAAGATATGCTTTGGAACTGTAAAAAGTCGAGCTGAGCTTGGTCGTTTCAATGTGCAGCTTCAGGTCATGCAGTGGCCACAGCGGGCACATGCTCAAACTCGCAGCATCGATCTGTTTCATGCAGATATCTGGTCTCACAGCTGTTCAATCCAAGACCCCACACCACAGCAAGTGACTTGAGCCCCAGAACCCTTCCCATTCCAGCCCACCCCTGAGACGCTCCTCGACGGTTGCTCACGATTATCACCATTTCATCCCGGCCCCTTAAACCACGCTCGAAGCAATGGCAGGGCCAACACAGCGGAAGAAGTCTCTGAGGTGTCCCGCGGTGTGTTGTGATTTGCTTAGTACAGGAGTCCGGCCAATGGCAGGCTCTAGACTCCAGCACAGCATTGGGGGAAACTTTGTCTTAACGTGTGCGTATACGTACTTGTAATATATAGTAGAACTATGCAATGTAGTGCGAGATGATGGGACTTAATATACTTTAATTTGTAGATACTATACACCATACTGCACTTTACTGTGCTATGCGACACTATTCTGTACTGTGCTATACTATGCTGTACTATATGCTGTGATATGCCATACCGTACCATACTATGCTGTGCTATACTACGCTGCATCATACCGTACCATACTGGAATATGATGTGTGATTAAGTATGATATACCATAACGTAAGGTAGCATAACAAACGTACATCGCTGTCTTAGAATATACTAGACTGTAGTCTCTTATACTACAAAATAACATGAGACAATATAATATGGCGCAACAGAGTATAACGTAATACAGGTTTAGTCGGCATCGTGCTACTGCCCTGCGGTGCGGCGTCAGAAAGGTTTGCAAACATGATACGATATGATAGAATAAGCATGGTAATTATGACACAGTTTGATATGACAGAATATGATGGCATATAAGGTGACATTTCATGATACAGTATATGTTCGTTTATCAGGATGTGATTGAGCATGCTATGAATTGCGTTTATGGTACCATTTTTTGCCAGAATACAATTTGCTTAACATTGTCTAATATAGCATGATAGAATAGAAGCCAGTACCACACACATATTTTGATGTAGTGCAATCTCAACCAAGCTTCTTTAACCTTCGCATAACATGTTGCAATGTATTGTAATGTAATGAAGCATAACATTTCGCGATGCCTGCGTGCGTATTCATCGAACCCTACATGCTACAGACATGCACACATACCTACTCACACATACATACATACGTACATGCGTACATACGTACATACGTACATACATACATACATACACAGATTTTTTTGAGTGAGTCTGCAATCGACCATGGTTTGTGCCGTGTCACGGACCGTTGCATGCCGTGGTCGAGGTCTTTCCTGGTCAACCCAGCAATGAAAGCCAGGCTGGTGAACAACGTCTGAGCGTTTTTCTGGCAAGCTTTCAACAGCCGCCCTTGCTACGCAGCAACATGTCCAACGTTTCATCGACTGAAGCGACTTCTTTGTTTAGCCAGTGCATTTCATGAAAATACATGGCCCGAGATCCTTGGGTACCCTTTGTCGCTTCGCCAGTAGCTGCGAGGGCAAAGGCGGCCACAGAAGCACGGCAAGAGTTCTGCGAAACTTGGCATTTTTTTGGCATTGGGCACCTCTCCAGTTCTGTGTGAGGAGAGTTGCAAGCTCGTTCGGAACTGCGAATCCCACACAAGATCTGGAAAGCACATTGTTCTGCCATGTTCTGCCAAAAACGACTCATCAACTCGCGGCCTCGCAACTGCCTCTGTTTGATTGACTGCTTCTGGGACTTGAACGGGGCGAAGCTATCAGTTAGTCAGCCTGGGCCAAGGATACTGTCGCGCTATCTGATGTGCCAGAGCCCAAGCATCTGCCTGACTGTTAGCAGTCCTTGGCAGTGTTGCGATCAATGATCAGAGAACTTACTGGAACTTATGCTCGACGGTGTGTTCCAGAGCTGTGCGTTTCCATCTGACATTTGCTTCGGGGCCTTCTTGCGGTTGTTTGAGCTTCCACTGCTAGGGCATAGCTTGTCCGCCTTGGAGCGCCTTCGACCAAGTCTCCTCGTTTTGATCATCGTGGGCTTCTCCATGCTCGGCAACATGTTTCCACCCAGAAGGCAAGGACGGCAGAGACGCAGGCTTGTAGATTCGACATGCTTGCATGTCTGACCGTGATGTGGGGCCCTGAGTGACCGTGATGTGGTGCTCTGACTCACGACACACCACGAAACTGTGGGCAGCAATGTGCTGCTTAGACTGAGACTGTTGGCGAGGGCCTGTACTTCAATAATGTATGGACTGCCTGAAGGGACAGTGTGTAAGATGCATCGCTCTTACGATGTCGTACAAGTAGTTATCTGTCAAGGGCAATGCGATTTTTTGGGTCAGGCGGAGCGAGCTGTACATTGGCGTCGCAGCGCCCGCATCTGATGTATTCTGAAATCGGTTGTCATTGCTTGGCTGGCTAGACGGTGCTTGCACAGCGCTTTCATCCAGGTTTTGTGAAGGGTACGGTTCATGAGCAGCTGCATACGACACTATACTTGCAATAGTCCGTGTAATTGCTGGTGACACGCGTGGTTGCTTTGGCCATTCAATTCAACATATTTCGCCCTTGCAGAAATCAACAGTATGCTGGGCGATTTGCGTCCACACGCCCCGTGAGAAGTTTACCTTAGCTGTGCCACAACCGGCCGCAGTTGTTGGTGCTCGCATCCACTGTGGTGCTACAATATTGCCAAACGTAGGTAAAGCTAGTAAAGGCACGGCTTGGACAGACTCGGCTTGAAGTGGAGTTGCCTCCTGCTTCTGAGGTTTCTGGCCAGCTTTGGTGTGTACGTGTGTGTAAAGGCGCGGAGACAGACCATTGCAGCAGGTTCGTTCAGGGGCGGGGACGTGTGGATTGCACCATGTTCTGCCGCCAGTCCTACGAGAATGCCAAGAAGCGTGAAGAAAACGCCAAGGAGAATTGGGCAGAGCCTCCGAACTCTGCAGGCTCGGTGCCAGAGAAGCCTCCGAAGGATACCTAGCCAGCTTTGGCGAGCAGTTGGCGTTCTTACAGCTGCTGTTACAGTGCCCTACCGTGATCTGCATGTATCTAACTGCCGGAACCCAACAAGCTCACTGGGCACGAAGTTTCACCAAGACTGCAAGAGCTCTGCGGTCCAAAGCATGTGCCTTTTTGGTGCACCCCCTCTCCGAAGGGCTCCTGAGGTCTCAGATCCGAGCTCACCGGGTATAGTTTCAGGTAAGACATGGCCGCTACCAGGCAGACCTCAAGCAGTGAGACAAGCAGTGTTTATAATGCTATCTGCTAAACAGAACACAAGTGACGTGAGTTCCATGATGAGTCTGCATCTAAGTTGATCATGCGACTGGAGTGGAACAGGGCATGCAAGAACTAGCAGCTCCGTGGTTACCCGTGCTGGTGTTTGCAACTAACTCCGTGTTCCTGCAGCTGTCAGGCTTACATATGGAAGAAGGCGCAAGAAGAGCGCAACAAGTCAGTGATTATGGAATCCCACATTGACATGCGACATCCGGCAAACGCGAGCATAAGAGTGCCCGATGTCATCCAGGCTGCAGGCCCCGAACAGTCCAGACCCCGAAGCTCCCGGCTCGGACATCCAAGACACGAAGACACGAAAGCGCGCAGGATTTAACGGAACAATCGCAACACGTCCAGTTACCCAGCTCCTTCGTGCCACACGCCCAAACGCGGCTGCACTCGCGATGCAGGCAAGGTCGTGACACGTGCATGCTCAAAGATTAAGAGTTCAAGAAGCGTACGTATCCCAACTCGCATCGTACTTTAGTACTTGTTTTATCTCCCTTCAGACCAAAGGCCCCGTATCACTGCATATCGAGCTCCATTTTTTTCCAATGCTCAGGGCCCGCAGGGCTTCTGGCTTCGCGAGCAGCGTGCAGCAGCTGCGAGGGGGACAAGGAGCAGGCAGTTGATTTTTGGGCGCTTTACGGCGAGTAGCCATGGCAGCCCAAGCCGCAGAATCCCATCCCACAAACATGAACACAACGCCTTCCTGCATTCTTGAGGTTTAACAAGTTCTGTGGGTCCCGGTTTTTGGTGCTGGGTTCAGGGCTTAGGTAAGGACACGAAGTGGAATCACATCCCGGAAAGGTCAGCAAAGGCGTGGTCAGCAAAACGTGAAATTCCACACTGCATGCGAAGTCTACCTGCGCAGAGTCTTGCACAATGTTTGCATCATGCGGTTAGGCGCTGCATCGCTTCGCAAGACTGTCAGACTCACCGAGAGCCGTGAGGATGCGTGCTTGTTGGTGCTCGTGGGTTCGTTCGCCGGCATGACCCCGCAGCCCAGAACGGTCAACAGGGCCTGTTCTCTTGTCTTCTGGCCTTTGCAGCCCGCTCTGGTTAAAGGAGAATCAGCATGCAGTTCTCGGGTTTCGGATGTATCTTTACGCTTTGTTGTGCGAAGAAGATTGTCACGGAAAGAATTCGCTGACCGAAGTGAGCTATTGAGGAGTCGTAAAACCGAACACATTTCCGGCTGGAAGGCGTTGTGGCTGCAAGCAGCACCATATTATATACCCTTGGGCGCCTGGTGTTCTTTTTTTCGCAGATTTTCGCAGCATGTACACATATCCGCTCCCCAGCCAGAGCCGTGACCGCTGGCTGTCAGAAGAGGCACCGGTCACCTCGAAGGAGCTCGGGCCTCTTGGGGTCGCATGGAGTGAGCGGGGGGCCTAAAGGTCTAAAGGAACCCGCTCAAGACAGGCAAAAACAAGGTGCTGCGCGGCCTGGGCCTTGCAAGCTGCTTCTGCGTGCGTTGTCTCCGCGTGTTCGTCCCTTTTTGCCCCCGGCCCCGTCCAAGCCGGGGTCGACAGGTTCATTGTCTCCCCCGAGGGCTTCGGCATCATGAGAAACCCAGAATTGTGAATTATTAGCATATCCGGGGTTCCGTCCAAAGCCTGTAGGCAAGTGCATGTGCGTCAGAACATTGAACTTTCTTGCCAGGGTCGTTGCGGAGCCTGGCCGTGGGCTGAGCAGAAGCTTCGACTGTCCTCGTGATCGGGAGTTTTGTTGTGACTGTAGGCACTGCAGGCTCAGTTGTTCTCACCAGGCTGCAGGGCTCACCTCCTCGGAGCTGTTTCTTTGCGCTCTTCGCTTCGTAGGAGCTGTCCAAGATTTTAAGAATCCTGCCATCGAAGATTCAATCCATGAGTTGAAGATGAGTTGGATGAGATTTGGACAGGAGCCGGTGGAACTGGGCACGAGAGTTCAATTCAGTCCTGCCATGAGCCAGGATTCTAGAGTCTAGAGGGCATCTGAGGCTTGACGCAATGGTAGCATCGCCTTGAGCCATGTATCCGCCCTCCGGTATTCCGCAGTGGCCTCCGCAACGGGCAACAAGCCCTTTCGCCGCTGCGCCTGCTGGAAATGTCGGGGTCAACTTGAGTGATGAATTGGCGACAAAGGTGGCAGAAGTCACCATATTGCGTAGCCGGCTGCAAGCATCCGAGCGCGAGAATACTCGCTTGGAGAATGAGCTGGCCTCTGCAAAGGATTCTGGCCCCTCCAAGCAGTCGCAGCAGCGCCAAGAACTGGAGCGAATCCATGGCGAGCTGCAATACGCCCGTCAGGACTTAATCTCTTCGGAGGACGAGCGAAAACGCTTGAGACTCACGGTGCAAAAGATGCAGCAGGAAATGGAAGAACTTAAAGCACGGGCTCCTGTCGAGGAACCTGCCAAGGACCAGATTCGCCATGCAGAGCCCAAGCCTGCACCACAGCCACAGCCCCGGCTTGAGTCGGGAGGGGAGGAGCAGGAACCAAGGAACCGCTCCATACGAGAACATCGCAGCTGCGACGAGCCCATGAATGAGGACATGAGCAAGCAACATGTCGGGATTCTCGTTGGCCTTGCTGAGCGTTTCGGCAGCTGTGAGAGGCAGCGCCTCGCGTTGCAAGCTGCAGTCACGAGCTTCCCCCAAGCTCCCCAATCTGTACACGAGGCATCTTGCGCAGCAGCGGCATTGTTGCTGGGAGGGCTCGAAGATTTCCAGTGGGCTTCTCTGAGTGCCGGAGCGACTTTCTTGAAGCACTGGTTCGGACTCTTCCCTCTACACCTGCCAGAAATCGCCGAGAGAATCGTCAAAGGCAGGAAGGCGACCAACTCCCTCTTCTCTGCCATGGCTGCAGTCTTCCATTCAGCCGTTCTTGACGCGACAAACTCTGATGAAGAGGAGGCCTTGTTGCGGGAAGGTTGCGCCCGCGAATTTCTTGCAGCTCTCTTGGAGGCTGCCAGCAAACTCCCTGGAAACTTGTTTGCAGTGCTGTCACCAGTGCTGGAGAAGCCTTCGCTTTTCGCCTTGATCTGCGAAGATCCAGCACCTGACAGCCTTCATTTGCCCAGCTTGCGGCTACTGGAAGTGCTGATGGCAAGCCCGAGTCTGTTTACTCTCGCCCATCAGGCAGAAACGGACGAGAACGTCCTCCTAGCAGTGGCCAACGTCTTGATGATTCCATCAGTGAAGACTGCAGAGTCTGCAGAGTCTGTGGCAGAGGACAGCGTGGAGCGCCAGGAATGCCGGGTAGCGAGCCTGGAACTGCTGCAGCGCTGCCTGGCAACGGCACCGAGCCCGGACTTCATTTTGCAGCTGCGCGGGGCGGCAGAAGGTGAGGAAGTGGACGAGGTGGACACGGTCTTGCAGCGTGTGGTGCTCCTCTGCCACCACGAGCTGCTCTGCCTGCGCCTGGGAGCCCGGGCGCCAGCGCCACAGCGGAAGCGAGCGGCTGAGCTGTCCCTCTTCATACTTTCTGGATGGCTCTGGCACGCGTTTGGACCTGCACTGAGCTCTCAAGAGCAGACGGGTGAGCTTTCCTTGAAGCTGTGCAATCAGCTGGGGAGAACAAGAATACTTATTGAATCCATCATCGAGATGGTCCAGGTGCTGCATGCATTGATGTTGCAAAAGGAGTGTTCTTAAGTGATGTGCAGCCGCATAATGCCGCATAGGCATGCAGCATTGGCCGAGTGCCAATGGCACCAACACCGGTAGGTTTTTTCGTCCAGGAGTCCAGGCTCCAGGTGTCGATCGGAGACTCAAGGCCGTAGACGTCGGAAGGTCTTCGAAATGCAGCTTCATACATGTCATGATGTAGATCGTTTTCATCACCAGTCTCGAAGGTTCTTCAGAAGTGTCGCATTGGCAGTCCAGCCGACGAAGGAGGGTTCGAGGATTCGGCGGGAAGACTTGAATCAATGCTGCGGGAAGACTTGAATCAATGCCAAAGCAAAGCCTGAATTCTGTCACATCGACATAGATCGATGCCAGCTACCCTCGACAGCGAGCCTTTTCCTCCTACGATGTCCCCCTGTTCAGGTGCTGAGTTCTCAGACGTGCTTCAAGGCATTCCTCAGCAGTGCCTCGGCTTTGCGGATGCTTCTCCCTTTCACGGATGGCGACCGTCAAGCCTCTAGTCGCTCCACGAGTTCGCAAAGAGCATCGGTGCCGGTGGTTGTGGCTTGAGCCGCGAAACGGTGCGGATCATGGGGAAGATCGCGAAGAGTCAAATCGACAGCAAGTTGTGGGAAGACTGCGGCTGCTGATTTGCTGGTGGTCTTTTGTCGGACATGCACTGATTCCAAAAAGAAGCTCGTGTCTCCCTCTCTCTCTCTCTCTCTGTGTTTGTGTGTGTGTGTGCATGCATCTCATGCGACGAAGTGCAGAGTTTGTTGCAGTCTTCATCGTTGAGGGCTCGCAGTGCTGTCCCAAGCCTCTCTCGCGTTTGCCTTGGTGCTTAACGAACGCTCCCAGAACCTTCATCTCAAACTCAACAGGGTTTTGCCAATGCCTGGAATCCTCAGGTGAGATCTCCAGGTACTGGCCGAACGCGCCTCGGCCGAAGCCCAATGACCTGCCGGACCCAGCGCGACCACCTCAGGCGGAGAGCCTGCAGCCCTCAGATGTCGAGAATTTAGTGTCGGGATGTTGCTGAGCCTGATCGCCCTCAACGTGTAAGTGCCTAGCTGAAGGCGTCGGACCTGCAAGGCAGTCACGGGTCAGCAAGCTTTAAAGGTTTTCAGAGCCTGAAGGAAACGCCTATGACTTTGACCTGGAACCAAGTTCCTTTACTTGGCACTCCAAGAAGCCCAAAGCTTCTCAGCCATCTCACGCCCCTCGCCAGGACATGCCAAGATGCTGCATTGCACACTGCATTACACCGCTTGCTGCCAGGTGCCGCCGGGCCCCGCCACTCCGGCGAGGGCGAAGGCGCGAGCGCTGGAGCCGCAAGGCTCGGAAGGGTGTCTGTGGGTATAGCCGGGAAAGCGGGTTGAAAGCGGTATAGCACAAGAGCATGCCGTGGATGAGTCGGAATTCCAGCATCATTTGATGTCTGTCTCTTGGACAAGTAACATCTCATCTTCCTTTGAGAACCGGCCAGGTGCGCAAGAAGCAGAGGAGCCCTGCAAGAGAGTCACATGTCGCTGTTCACTAGGCCACAAGGCTCTGAGGCAACACAGTGATACTCGTAGTAGACACTGCGGAAGCAAGGCGATGGGTTGACGTAACTCTTTGAAGTTTGAAGGCCACGGCTTGAAGGTCCCCGCGTCACCTGGAGAATGTGCCGAATCTTAGCCCCAATCCTGCCGTCAGAAAGCAGAAACAAGAAGCAAAGAGGAGACTTTGCACGTCTCCCACGAAGAGCAGGAAGTCTTAGCACGCTTCGCTCGGAGCAGCCCTGGCATGTGTCATGCAGAGTCATGCTGGCAAGAGTCTGAGGTTTGGGCGAAGTTTTAGGCTTAAGAAGTCAGCATGTGACGGAGAAGAGGTGTAGTGTAGTGTAGAGTCAGGGTAAATAAGGAGCACTGTGTTTGCTGCAGCACGAATGGCACATTGGTGCCAATGAAGTCAGAGCTCCAAACTAGAACTCCTTTCCAGGACGGCGAAAGTTTCGACACGTTTCGACCATCATCGTCACAGTCCCACTTTGCAGATCGTTGCAGCCTTTTGTCTCGACATGTCGCCTCCAATAATTCTGATGTTGGACTTAAGCTTGCGACAGCCCAGCTGCGGCAGGCGAAGAACTGAAATCCCTGCGCAGACAGCTCCGCCAGGACATGAAGGAGCGACCTTGGAATGACTGGGTTCAAAGGATCCCATTGCTTTTTTGTGTCCCGTGAGCTGTTGAAGTCGTTGGTTTTTTGTGTTGATCGTGCCTCTGTGTCTCTGCATCACTGCTACTAGAAATTAAGAATATCTGACCGGCTTGGCGAGGTAGCCCTCTAGCCGGATTTCCGGCTCGTCTCGGAGAGGGGAGAAGAGTTGAGGGATTCCGCTTCGTAGGCTCTGGAGAACTTCTTGGAGGAGATGCAAACGAAGGATCCGCTGCTGATGAGGCCCTCCAATGCCGATCGGCGTTGTCTATCTATGGTGGTGATTGCTTGACCGAGAAGTAGTACCAACTACCAGACGAGCTCACATGCCGGTTTTGATTGAGTTGTCTACACAGCTTTCCGTTCTACGGCTGCTGTGGCTGATGACGTTTTCCGGCAGGATCATCGCCACCAACAAGCAGGAGCGGTTCCGGAAGTTCAACATTACATTGGTTGAGGTGAAGGTAGAGCCAAGCTGCCACAAGTAGACAGGCATTGCGGTACATCGAGTGTTTGGTGGATGCCCCAGGCGTTCATGAAAATGGCTCTCAGTGGTCTTGCTGAAGAGGCCCTGCGGCATTGGGGCTGTACAACATGTCGCCAGCATGCCTCACCCAAACAAGACAAAGCCGAGAATCAAAGATATGATGTCTCACTGCAGCATCCATTCGCCCGTGCATGTTGCTTGCATTATCTCCTGCGTTGGACATGGCAGCCTGCAGTGTGTCATGTTGCGGCACCGCCCATTCACTGCTAGGCTTCGTTACAAGCACGGGCATGCTTTCTGCAGGCACGGGCGGAGACAAAGCTGGAAAAGGAGGAAGACGGGTTTGAGAGCTTGACATTGCCTGTGATCTCTTCCTGAACTCCAAGTGGCCTGACACATCCTTGACATGCACCAACTTTCTGTTGCCCCGTGACGTCATCAGAGACTGTTGCTTTGCGCACATCCGTCGTTGACGAAGGAGACTTCACAATCGGAAGCCTCCGAGTTTCGAGCTGTCGTCAAGCAGAAGGCTCCATTGAGTGTCTTGTGAGGCCATGCACTCGCGATCTGCAAGAGAGCGACGCGTCTTCAGGAAGTGCAAGATAGGGCCAGGGCTCCATGAATTGTTCAACTGGTCAGGGTTTCGGGTGCGTTTGGAGACTGCCTCTGGCCTATGCAGGATGTTTGCAGCAGCTCAATCTCCCAATATTGCAGACTTGCACTGCAGGAGGCGAAGAAGCAGCTGCGAGTACGGCACCTCAGATCAGTGATCAGGGTTCCAGCACATCAACCATGGCAGAGTTCGTCGCCCAAACATGTTGAAACACGTGTACAGCACAAGCCCTCATGGCCGGCAGACCCATGAAGAAACCACTGACATCTTCGGGAGCGACTTCCTGCGTCATCTGAGCTTTCACTGGACATGTTTGGTTGCTCAGACACAGCGCGCCCTTCTGCCAACCACGTCTAGCTCCCACACGCTGGCAGCGTCCTCAGATGCGACCTTTGGGTCTGTGGCAGGAAGAGCGGGCGAGAGAGACAAGTTGAAATCGGTGCACTCTGCTTCCAAGGCCTTGCTTCACAGCCCCTATAGCTGCGCGGTATGCAAGGCCTGGAGAATTCTTGAGGTCCAAGTTGTCGCCGGGTTGGTCATCGAAAAGCCTGGGACTCCAGGATTATGAAAATCTGGTTCGCCTAGAGTCTGGGGTGATGAACAACATATATAATCTCTTGTCATGTGTTAATCGTTCTGAGGACGCTTCCTGGGGCGGGTCGGGGGGGTCCAGGTGTGGGGGTTGTGCGTTGGGAAGTCGGAAATCTTGAAAACAATCGGTTTGCCATTTGTGGCAGACTTCTAACTTTCCTGTGCTTTACACACAGGAGGAATGACAACCCCAACGACAGGATGAACCACAACCCGAGCGACAAAACATGCCAAAAACGGTTTCCGGGCTTTCCAGTCTGTGGCTGGTAAAGTGGTACAGAATCTCTGAACTCTCGGACCCTAGGTCTTATGGCGAAATTACAACAGGCAAGTAAGCAGGAACAGCTGCAGCCCGGTGTGTGACGGCTTGTTATCTCAGCCGCACATGCGTATGTGTTCCGATTCCCATTATGTGCCATGTGCCAACAGGAGACCCTCCCTAAGCCTTCCATGTCGCTGTTGTGATGCGCCTTCGCAACGTAGCTCTATTTCTGCAAACTGATGCTCCCATTCAGATTCGAGCACATACGGCCATTGCACAAGCGCATGTCAGGGATCAGAGCGTCAGAGAAACATGAGACAAGTATGCACAGTGGCAGCTTCGAAGGCGGCCTTTGCTGGTAGCACTCTGAAAGTGTTTCTGGAATCGAGCATGAAAGTGCAAGAGGAGCCTTGACATCAGTCACTACATGTCGATTTGAGTGGGCCGTTGCCAGTTGCCAGCTTCGATTGGTCCCCAGTCCCAAGTGCGTTTCGCAAACAAAGGAATCGACTGTAACGAACAAACGCATTTAGCGGTGACACCGTGCCGCATTCCTGCAGCGACTATAAACACCGTCATTGCGAGGCGACATCAGCCACGCACGAGCTCTTCCTGTGCAGCTCCTGCCAGAGCGTCCGGTTCTGCAGCCGTGAGTGCCAGAGGAAGTTCTGGCCCAGGCCCCGAAGCGGAAACAGGGAGAGAGAGCATGGAATCTTGCTGCAAACTGCTTACGTTTGCTTGCTTGTCGATTAGGGCCCAGGCAGGTGAATCTGTGGATCAGGTATGAGGCACACTTAGCTAGTCCTTCACGACGTACCTCATTGCACGCATCGTGCAGGCACCAGACTGTTTGCCGCTTCATAGCATCTGTCCGGGGCGGCCTGCTGAAACAGGCGGCCGGCATGGAGCCATGTAGGGAACAGCATGGGTGGAGCAGGGGAAGCCATGATGTTTCGAGCTAGCGTGTCTGAAAAATGCCACGCCAACTCCGAGAACTCATGGAAACACAGTAAGCGACAGGTCTCTGGACAGCGCTGGATGCAGGATGTCGCCTGGCATGCAGCAAGAATTGATTCCCGGATTTGACAGGGCTCGCAGTCTGCCCGCGTTTAAGTCAGGTCGGTGGTTTTGGGTGGAGGCAGCACCGGACGAAGTCTTGCGCAGTAGGGCAGGCAGGAATCAGGAAAGGCTGGGGGGAAAAAGTTAACAAGTCGATGATTTCGGAGTTTGGCGACATGAACTATCAGCAGAGTTGCATGTTTCGTGAAAACGTGGCTGTGGGCAATTGTGCGCCTGACTCACGGACAGACCCCTCAAGCATCGACATGATCATCTTGTTCCGCATCAATTTTGTGGAAGGGGCAGGGTGCCATGCAGAAATCGCGGCCTGAGCCAGATGTCCGGAATCAATCCCTTCACCGGCATGCCAGAAGTGTCGGCGCGCGGAATCAGACAGGGATCCAAAGATGTTGGATGTGCTCGAGCTTCGCCATGCTTTGCCTTAAAAGCTACAAGTCTCGAGGCAAGTAGTTTTCTTATTTTTCTTCTAAGGTCGTCTGTCGTCTGTTAGGCTGAAAGACTTCTCATAGAATGGAGGATAACTCTGCAAGGCAGGCCGATGCTTCAGGAAGCCTTCGGGAGTCTTCGAATCCCTGTTCAAAGCGAGGCACTGCCACAAGTCGTTGACGTTTGGACTCGATCGAGGCTACGGCTACGGCAGCAGGGTTGCTGTGTAGACTCAGGTTTACCCTGAGTTGGGGTCGTATTCCGAACAGCCTTTCAACATTCTTCACGGCATGCTTGTATGTACTACCCCGCTGCAATGCAGAACAGCTTCTACTGGTGCTCTAGCTCCAGTTATGCACGGACTTCTGCTCAGTCCAGAAGCCCTGGCTGGCAGTGGTTTCAGAAGAGTCTTTATCGAGCTCGGCCCGCACGCTAGATAAGTGGTTCAGGCCCATCACGAGAACAGTAATTTGGTAGCACGATTATCAGACTCTTATTGTTGTGATTGCCATTGATTACCCTTTGCGCCAGCATGACTAGCGTGGGAAAGGTATAATGATGCCAGCTTCCCTCAGTCGTAACAAACAGGAATGTCTGCCACGACAGTCGGTAAGCCCACTTTGGCTTCGGATGTTTTGGAATTGTGGTTTTTGACAGTGCGCAGTTTGGGGGTGTTGGCAATTGTGTGCATGTGTGGTCTTTGAGCTTTCAGTTCCTTGGAGCCCGGAACAGGAGTCAGCTGCCTCAGCCGTGGGAGTTGGAGCAGCTCGTGCACTTGCCGCGCTGCCGGGTCTGCAGAACCGTCTCGGTCCCAGCAGTCTGTGCAGCGATGAAGGGCTGTGCATTCGGCATTCTTACTGTTGCTGGGTCGAAGTTTTGAGCGGTGATGTTGGTGCTTCAGGGGCACCAGTGGGCTTGTGGATGAATAGGGCAGCCAGTGTTCAGTGTCCAGTGCTGAAGCGACAACTGGATTTATGAAGCGCAACTCAACTGTCGGGGCTTGCCTCCTCATGCATCACTTGCTGAATCACACAAACTGGTTGTCGAAAAGCAAGGCCCCTATGAGTTTAGTGGCAGGATCTGACCATGTGCCTAGCGGAACCCTTCGAGACACTTTGGTGTGGCAACACCTGTACTACTGCGGGGTGTCGGCCGCAGTTTCCTAAGTAGAAGAGGGGCGGCATGGCGATGTGTTCGACCAAAGAGGAAGAGAGTCCTGCCTACGACTCGGCATCGTGTGATGATGTGCAGCACTTTGAATGGGGCGTCGCATCAGCTCTACTGTAGGGATTACGTGCAAACATGTTGACTGCGCGTCCGGAAAGCTGAATCAGGTGCCGGCAACGCTGGTCTGCCCAGTGTCTCGTTACGCAGGGTATTGCTCTGAGGCCAGGCCCTTCCGTTGCCCTGCCTTGCCTTGCTCAGAGTTGTCGCGTTTTCGGTGCCGTAAGTGTGTCGAAGCGATGTAGGGTAAGATTGGCTTACTTCTGTTGCTCTCGAGCTATGATGGGGCCCTATGGTCTAGTGATTCACATGCAGCGGGGAACAGAGCGGAGTGATACGAGGCTGTAGAGCTTATCCACTGCTAGCGCTCCGGCTTCGTCAGGATATGCAGGCATTAAGGCCACTAGCAGGTTGATCAGTATCCGTGCTGGGTCTTACATGCTACATGCCTCATCTGCTCAGGCTTGTATCCAAGAAGATGAGGAGCATCAGAGTTCCTGGATGTGCAGCCAGGCACGCCAGGGATAGATTGGTGGCCCCACAGCTTCAGGGCTGACCTGCCTTTTCAGAAACACACCTTGGGATACAGGCTTGCTACAGGCCTTGGGTCTGTAGCGCGGGCGAGAGCTGACGGTCTCACATCGTTTCGCCAGCGAGCCGACACCGTTAGTTCAGGTCGTACAAGCAGACATGCGATCAGAAGTGCGGGCATCGCAGCCTGTCATGGTCACCCTCAGGTGCGTTCGACTGCAGTGGCAGCCTACTTTATGCACAAGGCCTGCCATCGGGTCTTCTGCAGATGGGCTTCTGGTATCCAGCTGCTTCTGTTTACAGGGGCCTTTTGACACCGCTGGGTCCAGGTTTTGCTCCTGCTGCGGCTTCAATGTAAGCTTCAGATGTCCTTTTGCTTGCCTATCAGTCCAGGCTGTGGCAGCTTTCAGGCGGTGGGTGGATGTCTGCGATTGCTTTCGAAGGCTGGCGGATGCTGCAGCTTTACGACGCGCTGCTCCGCAGAGGAGTTGCCGGCTTCCATCTTCGAAGGGGGATGGCAGGAGCCCCTGGCAAGCATGTTCGAAGCGGTTCTGTCAGCTCGTCATGCATTTGCCCGCCATGTTCCTACATGAAGCCTGACAAGCTTGTCAGTAGACCCTCACTCAGTGAAACCACTTGCAGGGAAAGGGATGGGCATATCCTACACAAGGTACTGGTAGCAGAACCAGCAAGCCGTGAACCTGGACCCTCCCCTCCCGCTATGATCAGCTGCTTCAAGCAGTCAAAATCAGGGTTTGGTGGCTGTGAGGAGTTTGTGAAGTGTACAGAGCTGCAGAGCGCGGATGGCCAGCCCTTCAGCGACCTTGGAACGACGGCACAGCAGGCCGCCAGATCATCGCAGCATAGTGCATCAATGGTTTACGCGTAAGGACGCGGCTCTGGGGCACATGATCTCGTTGCCAGTTCACGCGGGAGATGCCCAGTGAAGCATGTAGTTAGAGCCAGACTAACACCCCAAAGCCCAAAGCCTTGCAGACCATCATCGATGCATTGTCCTTCCCGATGATTGCCATCGAGGCTGGACTTGAAAGGACTCTCTGCTTTGCGTGGCCTGCCCAGAGCAATGAAGATCGACCTCTCGCGTTTTTTGCACGGCTTGTATCAGAGCGGATGCCCGGCGGCTACTTTGGAGCCGGATTCAGACCCTTTCGCAGGGCTGCAGGCTGGCCGGCCAGAGCTGGGAAAGCCTCCGTCACCTCAAGGCCTACGAAAGGGAACGGTCTCACGATCGTCAGTTTAGTTTTGATTTTAAGTGTTTGGCCCTTGAAGCTTCAGAATCGGTGAGGTTCACGTGCTGGGAGCCTACGGGTCCACCCTCGCCGACCTTTACAAGTACGAGGAAAGTGCAGACAGCATGACATGTTCTCAGCATGTTTCCCGTCGCCTCAAGCCTTCTGGAACCTGAGTCTAGAGTTATGCCCCGTCGCTTCGCAAGGAGTGGCTGCGGCGTGGATGGAACCTCAAGTCCATGGAGATCCATTTCATCGGGCCTGAGGTGCCAATGACTCAGGGAGCGCCATCGACTGGCACAACGCATGCCGTCTTTGGAAAACTCCAGACATCATCAGGTGTATGTGTTTGTTTTACATGACGGTGCAGGCAGAACGACTTTCGGGATCGAAGGCTTTCTGCAAACTGCTGTCCGGGGATGCGGCGACTGTTTCATCGGACCTCCAAGACACAATCTCTGGTAGAATCTGGTAGAGATAGAGAGAGAGAGAGATGCACGCATTCATGCATGCATGCATGCATGCATGCATGGATGTGTGTATGTATGTAGGTATGTGTGTATGTGTGTATGTGTGTGTATGTATGTATGTATATGTAGGTCAATGTACGTATGTCTACACATGTTCATTCGTTTACATTGAGGTGAGATGTTTCCGGCACCTGCCACATGCAGCGCAGCGCAACTCTAACTGACGCGCGAGACGTGACTTGAACGTGATCCTTCTGGTGTGTCCGTGTAACAGTGGCAGGTGCAAATCCCCAGCAGCGACGGCGACGTGGTAACGGCTTCGGTGAAGCTGGATCTCTGCGACAGGTAGGCTCCTGGGTGCTAGTTACGCTCAAGATTCATATCATGTGCCATGTGCGGCTGACCTGTATCCGGAGCCACAGTGTGGCTTATTTACGACGATTACGTCACCAGGGTCACTATGCCACACTCTGCCTCGATGAAAGACAGGGCAATTGTGTGGGCTTTTCGGTATCCATGCTCATGCGAATTGCCCGTGCCACCGATGTGCACGCTCCTGGCAGTCTCACGGCCCAAGATCGTACAGCCACATGCTTCTTTCACCGGTACTCGCCCCAGACTCTCACGGCTTGGGATGAACACTTTCGAGAGACATGGGTTTGTCATTTCGATTCCAAGCATGAGCTGTGAACAGAGTCGCAGCATGTGAAGTAGCCTCAAGATGTGCTGGTGGCTATGTAGTGTAGAGAGGCATCTTAATGGACGAGTTTCTTTGGCTTGCAGGGGGGGGGGGAGGGTGGTCTGGAGTGAGCTGCAGGGCCGTCGCAGGTCGTGCACAGCATCTGGACAAGTCGTGTGAGGTAGCTCCGTTTGTACTCCTATCTCTCAAGCTTAGGTGTTCCATCCTTGAGTTCATCGAAGAGGCACGAATGTGCAGAGAAGTGCAGCAGGGCTACGTGGCATGCTGCTAACGGTCTTCATTGCAAAACTTGGCCGTTGAGCCTCCCTTATTGCTGTCAGGAGGTGGCATCTGGGGCCTCCCCACCAACATTTCGACTGGCTTATAGTCCAGCAGGGCGCTTGGACGCGGCGTTGCCATCGGATTCGGTCCTTGAAGTGAAAGTAGCAAGTAACAAAGCAGGATTTACGCATCAAACTGAGTTGTTTCTAGCCCGGAGCTCCCTCCCTCCCCCCTCAGCTGAAACTCAGACTGACTCAGACTCGGAAGCCCCGAAAACCCATAGCCGTCCGTGGCCGTTGCGAGTTCATGCTCAGAGAAGGTAGCTGGACTCAGACGTTTGAAGCTGACTCTCCAGTCGCTGCATCGTCTACCCCTTGGAGACGCATCGGACCAGTGGGGTAAGGCCCTGCAGAGGCCATGGCTGGGGGCGACTTGTCAGGAGCTTGAGGATGTCATTTAGGCAAGCAGAGAGAGGCTTCAGAGATCCTGACCTGCTGTTGTTTATCTCCGCGACAGGCTCGCCGACTTAGATGACACAGTCCTGGTCGTCAGCGAAAAGAATACCGGAGAGATCGCCGCGGACCATCGGGGATAAGTTCTAGAGTGTTGTGGTGGCTGTCATGGAACTTGAAGGTTTATTTGTGCTTGGGCGGTAAGCTGGCTGGTTGGCGATGCCTCTCATGCGCAGGATCGCGATCGTTTGCGAGAGTGCGGCTTTCGGGCCGTGGTGCGCAGCTTACCGATCTGTTAGTACATGTGTTGCCACGCTCGGCTGCAATCAGTTGAGCACCTCGACACGGAACGTAGAGCGACACATACAGAAGTTATGGTCCAACACGTTCAACACCGCCACGCCCGATGCCGCAAGCTTCGGCCATTGGGACATAACGGTCGTGCCGTTACTTCGACGAGGGCTTGGGCACACATTGCTTCCTGCATCGCCTTTAAGCAAGCCTTAACTTATGTCATCTCTGTTATGCAGTCAAGCGCTTAATTTACCGCGGGGGGTTGCGTTATTGCATTCGCTCGCTGTTAAGTCATCAACGTCAGTATATCGAGCGGATCCTGGTATACCGAGCCATGCACCACGAACCCACGAACACTCTTGCTGTGTCTGGCCCGTGCCGAGGTGAAACCGCGAATGTCAAACTTTCCAAGCCCGCTGGCACTTTACGACGACATGAGCACGCCTGAGGTCATCTTGGATTGTGTTCACTTAGACGGACTGTGATGGGCAGAGAAAGAGATTCGGACGCCATTGGCCGATAAACCCAACACCTGACCGATTGTTTTGCTCCTTCGCTTGGTTCATAGCTGTCGGCCAGGAGAACCCTCTGGGGTTGAACATCTGGAACATGTCGCTGGCAGTCTTCAAGGCACACTCGAGACTTAGGTCAGCGGTGCTCAAAGGCTTGCCTGTGCAAATAACTAGTTCCTTGCTTGTGGCAGTTTGCATTCGAAATTGTGTGGTATTTTGGTTTGAGGCTGCGGCCTGTAGCTAGTGAGAGCCTCGTGTGCCAGGTCCCACCAAAGGCTGCCATGGCCATGATCCGAATGCCTTGTTCGTCGTTCGTTCCTTTCCATCCCGGTGCAGGCTTGCAAACCGGGAGACCCCGACACAGATGCGGGCGAGGACGACAGCGACAGCGAGGCCGAGGAGGACCCGAAATTCAGGGATACGACCGGAGATCTGCCGTTTCGTTCCGTGCAGTTTCAAGCCCATGTGTGTATGTGTGTCAGATGTAAACAATGGCTCCAGGAATCCGCTGACTCGGATGAGGACCAAAAAGAGTCGAAGGCCTGTTTGCTTCGGGCTGGACTTGTAACTGGTTTGTGTCATTTCAGGGAGAACTGTTTGTGATGGATGCCATTGTGCCCCATGGTGCTGGATCAATATCATCCATGCTTGAAGCTTACTCTTGGAATGTCTTGGGCAAATCAAAAAAATCCTTCCAGGATGCCCTGCGGAAGTTGACAGAGCAAGCTGTGCTTGCCTTGGTTGACATGTCCTGGCATGATTGGAATCAACGTGCATACATTACATAACCAGCCTTTGCGGACCATCTTTGGAGTGGTCTGAGCTTCGCAGGGCAGGGAAGTCAAAACGTCGTACTAGTTCGCCAGCAGTCAACTGTGGCTTCACCAGTCTGCGCCGAAGACTGTCATAGAGATGTCAAGCCTCATTCCGTCGCCTTTGGATATCGCTCTCCATGTCTGTTGTGTTGGGGAGAACTTCAAATTTGTGAGGGTAGGCGTGCGTCCATTCCCCAGGAGGCACCGTCAATCGACGACTTCTCGGTTGGTGACCGTGTGCTGGTGAGAAAGTTCGTGAAAGGAACAGTCACAGGACTGCCGGAGCCTGAGCAGCGGAACTGCAGACTCGCCTGCTGGAAGCCTATTCCACTTGTTCTAAGGCGATGTAATGGCTTTCCACATGGCGTGCAGGTGCAGCACTCTGATGGCTCCAGGACGCTGATTGCCTCAGGGCCACAGTCGATGAGCTTAGAAACTACTGTTTCAGCAAAGCAGTGGACGTTGTTTGGGTGAGTGGAGAAGGTGTAATCGTCCAACCTACAATCTCGCAGGAAGCATTATTTGCCAGAAGAGCCCATCACTCGGTCGGGCAAGTGCGATCATGCGAGATGCAATTTCACACATGTGTGAATCTCCTCGAATCTTGCTCAGCCGCAGCCGTTTGAAGCTGCCAGTTCTGATTCATTCTGCCACAATGCATCGTGTCACCTTGCTGAGCGGACGGGGGAAGCGCAAAAGGGTAACATGCATCCTTGTCGATGAGAAGCGCCAATCACTCGATAAACTGTCGCCCGAGGCTGATCAAGATTAATGCTTCCACTGCCGTCCCAGCGCCCCAGCAGAACGGGCAGCTGGATCTGGAGGTGTGGCAGGGACCACGTTGGGGGCTCCACTGCTTCTAACTAACTTTGACTGGCAGGATGCAAGGTATGACCTATGCCTAGACACAGCTGGCCCGCATCAGCCTTAGTACAGGGCTGACGAGCGTCTGGGAACAGTTCAATAGGGGGTAGGCCGCTTGCAAGGCCTTACTTGTTCTCCAGAGTTGGAGTCTTGGGACGGAAGTCGTGACATTCGGTTGTCGATACTGTGCTGGCAATACGCCCCAAGGTGAGTGAAGTCTGAAGGATGTTTGAAAGAACAGCGACACTGCAACACTGTGAACTGGCTTGAGGTGGAGCTGCGACGGGAAATCCATGGAGGACCTGCCTCACACAGACAGCGCGGTGAGCTCGGACAGTGAGGTTAGTTAGCAGAGCAGGCGCGCTCAAGCCTTGTGGTTGTTGGCTTGCGGCTTCTCTTAACCAAGGCAAACCCGGAGTCCTTCGTCGTCTCGCTTTCAGTCCGCAGCGGGCCAAGTATCACTGTATTTCGCCAGTGTCGCCTTGCCTCCTTTGTGTCAGGTTGCGACGGAGGCCAGGGCTTCCGATCGCCAGTCACCAGCCGCGACACCACCCCTCCGTGCAGTGCCCAGTGGGGCTTGCGGATTCCAGTCGACATGTACTTAAGATGCAGCACGTCCTCTGACAGATGGAGAAGCTACATATCACAAGAGTGTCTTGAGAGTACTTGAGAGCAGACTACCAAGATGTACTGGCACGAGTATCGGATGGCCCATTTCCTTCGCACATTTGTCAATCAAGCTTCGTGTAGTGGTGATAGTATCACGGGCAGTATTATGATTTGCAAACAGTAGTAGTCGTAGCTGTAGTCGTAGCGTCGTAGTGGTAGTTTTAGTAGTAGTAGTAGTAGTAGTAGTAGTAGTGACAACAGCAGTAAGAGCAGGGGGAGGAGCAGGAGTCGTCGTCGTAGTAGTAGTAGTCGCAGGAGAAGGAGGAGGAGGAGGAGAAGTAGCAGTAGTCCTAGTACTAGTGAAAAATGCAAAGGGTTACAGAGTCTTATCGTTGTCTTTCTTTGACTGATTATCGTTTAACACAGCAACACACACACACACGCACACACTTTGGCTCGGCACGAACTG